TGCAAGCTTCCTTGTCCTCGTCAATGGCTCCCTGAACCTCTTTCAATCCTAGCTTTGCGAGGGTTATCTCGATTACTTTGGAAACAGACATCACCAGGCCTCCTGCGCCTCCGATTCCGGCACCAACGAGGGAGACCACAATCCCGGCCCCAAAAGTGAAGGGCGCAGCGATCAGGCCCGCTATCGCTAGGATTCCTCCTACGGTGCTCGCGGAAGCACCTGCTATGGTCGATTTACTGACTTTTATGTGTTGCTCGTGTAATTTGGATGCGACTTCCTCCAGTTTTTCCAAAGTGCGTTTCCTCTTTGGTATCCACCGCCTGAAGGTGCTAACCACGTCTTCCTCTAACCGGCCTAATTCCCGGAATCTCATTATGACTTGGGCATAACTTTCTTCTGACAATAAAATTCTGCCAAGTCAAATATTCAATGTAGAAAAAAATTTAACTTTTGAAGATCTATTCGGTCTAGATGCATAAGGCTGCTTTGCGATGGGTCGCTCCTAATCGCCTGAGTGGGTGGGGGGGGGGGGGCGGGGCGGGGGGAAAAGCTGACTATGTCTTGATAACATTTATCTTATCCCCCATAAGGCTTTGTAACACTATTATGATCCTCTCCCTCCCCTCCCCTTATTAACAGTTTATCGGCAGTCTTAATATTCTGTTGGCGATGACTGATCCCCACTCCCTTCCCCTGTAAACTCTGTGATCCCCCCCTCCACTTCAGTGCATGATAGGTCCCCCGTTTATAAAGGCCTCCACCCAAGCCGCTCGCAGACCCCAAATTTCTTTCATGGAAATGACCCTATAGAACTGTGTTATTTGTAGACTTGCGTATGTAATCCAGAGTAGATTTTGAAATTCATTTCTTAAAACACTTTAAAATCTGCTCGACTATGTGTAACTTTTCCATTCATCACGTTATCCGCAAGGTTACAGCGTAACCATTTGCTTTCGATTTGACCTTAACGGCGCGTGACTGAAACAGGAAGTAATTTGGCTGTTGCCAAACGTACCACACAAAAGAAAGCTGCTTTCTCCGGGATCTGCATACTTCCTCACAAAGTTGTTTTGGTTAAGAATTAAAGAAAAGACTGCGAGTTGTAATTTTCTAAAAGTCGAAAGATTTTTTGAATAATTATGCATATGGAATATAAACGGTTTTAATAACCTTATCACCCTTGAAAGCATAATTGCGTGATGTTGATGCGATTTTGCATCAAATCATATTGAATTTCAGTTTGTATCAAAAGACCTTTACTCTTGGTGTTCACGCGTGACATATCCTCCAAATATTAGAATTCTGGTTGATGTCTCTGTAAAACATTCACTAAACCACCGGTATGCATAAATCTACCCGCATTCCGCCTTTATATGCTAGAAAACGAACTTATGACGCTCAAAATATTTGGGTCAAACAACTTCCTTAAATGATAATCGATCCCTCTGCTTGCGCAAAGGTTTCTGGGATCGCCAGATGGTAAATATTGCAAAACAACCAAAAAATGTATTCGAAATATATATGGCTAAATTTGTTTTGACGCCTAAAAAACACGATTTTGGAGAGAGATCATCGCTTTTTCGTTGCTGTTTTTTCAGAATTGGATTTAGACAATGTTGATTGTTGGGAAATGTAAGATTTTCTTTGAATAACCACGAAACTACTCTATTTCCGCAAGTTTCATTGTGAATTCGTCATAGCGTAATGGTCTCGAAATATTAGAAATATCACATCATTCTTGACCTACGTTCATACACCTATTCTTGAACAAACCTTTGTCCGTCGTCCCGACCCACTTGTAATAGCTCAATATCTTGAAAACTCATTTTTTGATGGACAATTGTATTGATATATCCAGATCGCTATAACAGCGTGACAAAAATGGATTCAATTCGCTGAAACTTTAACTGTTATTTGTGAACTGAAGACATAACAAGCGCATGCGCACGAATCTGACACGTGACTTCGTACAGAAATATATGTTTTTCGCCAGCCGAGATGTCTGTTTTGGGGAAAAGTGTACTTAAGACAGAGGGTACAGTTTTTTCCCGATACGGACTGACCTAGGCTGGTGAATAACATTTTTTTCCCCCTTAAACTTGACGAAATTCTTTCCAAAAGAACCCGCATGATTAAAATAAGGGATGTAGTTATGGCAAGACTTTCCATAAACTGAAGAACTTTTAGCGAGTGAATGGTAGTTTAAAAAGAGGTAATGCAAATTAAAGAGAGAGGCCTCACTGAAATATTTTCATTTGCGTAATGGTAATGGCGATTTCTAACCCTAAGCATACAAACTCGCCAGCATTATTTTTACAACTGTCTCTAGCAATCTGACACCGATTAGAGAGCGCGTAAGAAAAACAAGCGCGTGCACACTTTTGGAAAAACAACGGAGCTAGATTGGCAAGGACTGTCACGACAATGTTCTCTTGAAAAACAGTCAACGATCTTACGGAAAATATTATTCACTCTCATCGATGCGATTAATTTATGTACGAAGATTAACTTCTGTTTAGTAAATAAATGGCAAGGAAAGTATAATTGTAAGTAAATTCAAATTTTTTATATTGAAGTTGTGAGAGGTTGATTGTTTGTTTGCTGCAATGGCTTGAGTAAATCTGGTCTTTCCTCCACAATTTCGAATGAGACACTTCTACCAGACACAAGAGGATTTAATGCGGCTTGTTGTGTATTCCTTTAGCGGAGACACTCACTCTTCAACAGCTTTCTATATATTCTGTTTTATTCATCGATCGAGTATCTAATAAGTTGCTACAATCATGTAACTTTATCACAATACTTTCATATCGTTTAGTAGTCCTACAGTAATATCACTAACATTGCTACAAGTATTTTTACTTCTCAATACACAACATCCTTCCTGGGCAATGTTCAAAGGAATATAATTATTGTAATCACAAGCTTTGAAATCAGACTATGGTTAATTCAATACTTAACGAAATGAGATCAATCCCTGGTTGATTTAACCACCCTTCTTGATCCTGTGGTGATAACCTAATCACTCTGCGAGGCTTGCTCCACAACCTTATTAGAGGGCTCGGTACTTTTGAAAGCGTCGCTGAAGACCCATCAGACTCGTCAGTCTTAGCACTAGTGTCTACATCAATGTCATCACCTGTATGCTTACTGGGCCCATGTTTGAGGAACTTCGCACTGCGTATCAAAGTGGTACCCGTGTACACATTGACTAAACTAAAAGTGTCTCTCGCTTTGGTCTCATTAATATACGTGCTTGGCCGCAGAGAAATTTGAATCTAGATTTTTCGGCTTCGTGTTGGCACAAAATACGAGATGGCCAATTTTGAAATGATGGGGCTCTGCATGCGTGTTGCCTACAATCTTGATATTCCTTCAAACGCGCTTGATACAAATTGCATTTTGACCGATGTTCGCGATCGAGTGCTGATAGTGCTTATTTGAATTGAACTCGATGTACGGTAGTTTTGTTCGAAAGTTGGCGATTGAACAAAACCATTCTAGGTGCTTTTCCACTAATTTGATTCGGACTTGCTCTGTAGAGCATGAGAATTTTAGGCAACTCCATTTGCCAGGATTTACCTTCGCTGATGGCTGAAAGTTCTTCATTAAGTATCGATGAAATCTCTAATTTTCCTTTGCTTCGCACATAGTAAGGAGAAACACGAATATTTTGTATTCCACACGGTTTCAGAAACGCTTCAAACTCCCCGCTAATAAACTGTTATCCTTTATCCGTTATCAGAAATGATTTCCTCTGGAAACCCAATTCGAGCGAATATATCTGTCGACGCTTTGATTACTTCACGTGAAGTGACCTCTTGTAAAATGTACGCTTCCGGTAGGATGAATCATAATCGATATAAGTCAAAATGGATTTTCCATCAATTGGACCACAAGATCCAGTACACCTTTTACTCAAGGACCTCGAGGTAAAGGTGTTGGTCTAGGCGGCGTGTACTTTTTAAGAGGCTGATCAACAATGCGCGCTTGACAATTCTTGACCTTAGTTTCTATTGCATCATCTATCAGAAAAAAAAAAAAAAGTTCGAATGAATTGTTTGGTCTTGACGACTCCCTGATAGGTCTCGTGCGCTAATTTTAGAATTTTTTTTCGCAACGACTGTGGTACAACAATTCGGTTTTCTCGGAGAACAATTCCGTCGAAATTAGACAATTCGTCTCTTAACGCACTATACGGTTTGAGATCACCCGTCAGCAAGTGTTTTCCACTTTGAATTTGAACGAGTAATTGGGAGAGGGTGATGTCTCGGATCGCATGTCAGAGAGGGTGACAGCTTGAGGGTCTCACATATTTGATGTGAAAACAAATCTTATGTAGTCTTTACAAACCAAACCAGAATCGTAAAAATTATTTTGCTTGGACGGAAAACGCGATAACAAATCTGCTGTGTTAGCGTTGCCTACGATATGCTGAATATGAAGAGTATACTGGTGCAATCTCCAAGCTAAGCGCTGAATACGTGGTGGTAAACTTTGTGCAGATTGAGTATAGTAGAAAGAGGCTTGTTGTCAGTTATCAAGGTGAACTCTAAGCCAAACAAGTAATCGTGCAGATGTTCAACAGCCAAAACGCAACCAGTTGACTGTTGTTGGGCAGGTGCAAAACGGAAATCCTGCAGGAGCAAGATGTTTTGCTGAGTTTGTTATAATCTCTGTTATGGCAGATTGCTAAAAGGAAATTTGAATCAAAATATCTGTAGAGGTAAGGTCAGTTTATTTGGCTAATCATTGTAAGTAATTCAATGCAGTTACTCAACATTCGGCAGCTTTACTTTGTAACGCACTGAGTCGCTGAATTGGACACGATTTACAGAAGTGCACAGTTTTCCTAACTACAAAAAAAAAAACCATCTTTAGCAAAGGCTCTTGAGGATTCGACGTATTACACTGATCCGCTTATCTTAGCTTTCATTCGACTGTTATCGCTACTGACGTTCCTCTTTGATTATTATATCGCTATAGTTTTGGCTTTTCTTTTAGTCATCACCGTTCTCTCTTTGTACATTGTTTGAGACCCCATCATCAAAGACCTCATTTAACCTCTGTTCGATGAATTTCTGTACCAACTCCTGGATCTCGTTTTCCTCTGGGCATTTCAATTCGCTCAGTAACTTCCTGATGTCATTCACAGCCTGCGTAGTCGAGCCTCTATGCACCTCTAAAGACGATTTCACCAACATGTAGATATCCAGAGGTAACACCACGGCGCCAATAACTCTTCCAGCTATCTGGGCCGCGCGCGTTCCCGCCAAACCCCCAGCTCGAGCGAGGGAAAAAGCAGCAGCGACAGCCTCAGCCCCTACCGAAGCCGTGGACGTCCGCAAAAACATGGCGGATAAATCTATTCTCCCCTCAGTCGAAGGTGGGAACTCCCTTATGGCTCGACTGCGAAGAAATTCAAAACCATTGCTTTCTATTCTTCTTAGGTCGGAGATAAACCTCTTAAGGTCGTCCAACCGTTCTCGCAACGGCCCGGAAGCTTCCTCGTCCTCGTCAATGGCTCTCTGAACTTCTTTCAATCCTAGCTTTGCGAGGGTTACCTCGACTACTTTGGAAACAGACATCACCAGGCCTCCTACGCCTCCGATTCCGGCGCCAAAGAGGGAGACCACAAGCCCGGCCCCAAAAGTGAAGGGCGTAGCGATCAGGCCCGCTATCGCTAGGATTCCTCCTACGGTGCCCGCAGAAGCACCAACTATGGTCGATATACTGCCCCTTATATGTTGCTCTTGTAATTTGGATGCTAGCTCCTCCAGTTTTTCCCTAGTGCGTTTCCTCGTTGGTCTCCATTGCCTAAAATTTTCAACCAAGTCTTCTTTTAACTGGTCTAATTTTAGGACTCTCGTTTTGACTTGGACATGAACTTCTTCTGACAAAGTTCTACAAGACAAATATTCAATGAAGAAAAAAAATTATTTTAACTTTTGAAGATCTATTCTGTTTAATTGCATAAGACTGCTTTGCGATGGGTCACTATTTATAGCCTGAGGAAGGGGAGGGTTTGGGTATTTTGATTGCGTCGCAATAACATTTTTCTCACTAAGTTGTTTTGGTTAAGAATTAAAGAAATATCTAAGTCGGAGATGATCCGTTTTTACTTCGCTGATCTCTTCTTGAATCATACGGCAAAGAAAGACTACGAGTTGTAATTTTCCAAAAGTCAACAGATTTTTTGACTGATTATGTATATGGTTAGCAACGGTTTGAATAACCTTATCATCCTTGAAAGCATAAGTGTGTGGTACTGTCGCGATTTCGCATCAAATCATATTGAGTTTCAGCTTGTATCAAAAGATCATAATCTCTTGGAAAGAAGTTCACGCATGAAATATCCTCTAAACATTAGAATTCTGATTGATGTCTCAGTAAAACATTCACTAAACCGTCGTTATTCAAGCTATACAATTTAAGTTTATAAAATGACTTAGAGATTGGTTGCTTCCACTGCTGCTTTTATCATAAATCTGCATTCCGACTATGCAATGCAATGCAATGCAATGAAACCTGCATTCCGACTATGCAATGCAAGAAAACGTACTCATGGCGTTAAAAATACAAACGACTTCCTTGATAATCGATCCCGCCGTTTGCGCAAAGGTTTCTGGGGTCACCGTGTGGGAAATATTGCAACCAAAATAATATATATTCGAATACCTGTGCACGTGTGTATTAACGATTAAAATTAGTCAGGGCTTTATCGAGCTGTTTATCATGAGCAACTGTCAGCGATTTATGCTTCAGTCCTTCGCTGGTCTCTAAGTTTTCTGCAAACTTCATGATCCTTCCCTTTTTCTTGCGGATATCTGCTGTGTACTAACGCCATATTCAGCTGACAAATTGGTTCCCTTTTCTCCTTTCTCTAATCACAAAATCATAGACTGATTATCTTTTATCGAAAAAACGGATCGCTTACGCTTCAAGGATATGATGATCGGGAATAAACATTCGTGACGCTGTGTAGCTTGTTTATCTTGCATATCAAGCCTAACGAGCCAATAGAGTGTGAAATCTCACTTACTAACGAAGTAACTCTAAGCCAATCAGACCTCATTCGAATGTTCTTCATTAGTTACGACGCGTACGAGCGCTGCTTTTGCTTTTTGAAAGCGAAACAAACTCGCCTTTACTTCACTTTTCAACGCTGTAGTTTTAAAAAGAATATGGCTGCGGATCTTGATCATGACTAATAAATATTCATGACAAAATTGGAACCAGAGAAAAAGTCCGGATAATCGAGGATGGACTGTATATGGCTAGATTTGTTTCGACGCCTAAAACACGATTTTGGAGAGAGTTTATTATCGCTTTTTCGTTGCTGTTTTTCAGAATTGGATTTAGACAATGTTGACTGGTGGGAAATGTAAGATTTTGTTTGAATAACCACGAAATATTTTAGAAAATCTTCAGATGAACATCTCTCCCTCCGCAACTATCATCATGAATTCGTCATTGCGTAATGGTTTCGAAATATTAGGAATATCACATCATTCTTGACCTACAGTCATACATCTATTTTTGAACAAACCTTGGTCCGTCATGCCAATCCGCTTGTAACAACTCATGAATATCTTTAAAATGCATTCTTTGGTGGATAACTCGTATCCATATATCCAGATCGCTATAACGGTGTGACACAATTGGAGTCGATTCCCTGAAATTTAATTCTGTATACTGAAGATATAACAAGCACATGCGCACGAATGTGACACGTGATTTCCTAGAAATATATGTTATTCGCCAGCCGGGTGGTCCGTATTGGGAAAAAGTGTACTCAAGACATAGGTCAGAATTTTTCCCAATGCGTACCGACCTTGGCTGGTGAATAACATATTTCTCCCTTAAACTGAACGAAATTCTTTTCAAAAGAACCAGAATGATTTAATGGAGGGGTCTAATCTCGGCAAGATCTTCCATAAACTGAACAATCTTTGAGTGAGTAAATGGTAGTTAAGAGAGAGGTAATGCAAATTAAAGAGAGAGGCCCTCACCGAAATATTTTCATTTGCGTAATGATAGATGTGATTAAGAAGGCTTCCAATTGAACTTTGAAACATTATTTTTAAGAGTATCTGTTGTAATCTGACACCGATCAATTAGAGAGCGCGTAAGAAAAACAAGCCCCTGCACACTTTTGGAAAAACAACGGAGCTAGATTGGCAAGGACTGTCACGACAATGTTTTCTAGAAAAACAGTCCATGATCTTACAGAAAATCTTATTCACTCTCATCGAGACGATTAATTAATGTACGAAGATTAACTTCTGCTCAGTCAATAAATGGCGAGTAAAGTATAATTATAAGTAAATTCCAATTTTTTTATTTGAACTTGTTTTTTTTATTTGAACTCGTTTGTTTGCTGAAATTGCATGAGGAAATCTGGTCTTTCCACCACAATTTCGAATGAGACACTTCAACCAGACACAAGAGGATTTAATGCGGCTTGTTGTGTATTCATTTAGCGGAGACACTCACTCTTCAATAGCTTTCTATATAATTAGAAACGCTTCAAACTCCCCGCTAACAAACTGTTATCCTTTATCCGTTATCAGAAACGATTTCCTCTGGAAACCCAATTCGAGCGAATATATCTGTCGACGCTTTGATTACTTCACGTGAAGTGACCACTTGTAAAATGTACACTTCCGGTAGGATGAATCATAATCGATATAAGTCAAAATGGATTTTCCATCAACTGGACCACAAGATCCAGTACACCTTTTACCCAAGGACCACAAGGTAAAGGTGTTGGTCGAAGCTGTGTGTACTTTTTAAGAGGTTGATCAACAATGCACGCTTGACAATTCTTGACCTTAGTTTCTATTGCATCATCCATACCATCAGAAAAAAAAAACGAATTCGAAGAGATTGTTTAGTCTTGACGACTCCCTGATGGGTCTCGTGCGCTAATTTCAGAATTCCTTTTCGCAACGACTGTGGTACTACCATTCGGTTTTCTCGGAGAACAATTCCGTCAAGATTAGACAATTCGTCTCTTTATGCACCATAAAGTTTGAGATCATCCGTCAGCAACAATTTTCCACTTTGAGTTTGAACAAGTAATTGGGAGAGCGGGATGTCTCGGATCGCATGTCGGAGAGGGTGACAGCTTGAGGGTCTCACATATTTGATGTGAAAACAAATCTTATGTAGTCTTTACAAACCAAACCAGTATCGGAAAAATCATTTTGTTTGGACGGAAAACGCAATAACAAATCTGCTGTGTTAGCGTTACCTACGATATGCTGAATACGAAAAGTATACTGGTGCAATCGCCAAGCTAAGCGCTGAATACGCGGTGGTAAACTTTTACTCGAGTGCGGATTAAGCATAATAGGAAGAGGCGTGTTGTCGGTTAACAAGGTGAACTCTAACAGCCAAAACACAACCAAGCGCTTCGCGCTCAATCTGCGAATATCCCCTTAAAGGTTCTGTCGATGTAAGTAATCGACTGATGCGCGCAATAAGTTTGCGCTCACTAGTTCGTTGAACTTGCGGTAGAATTGCTCCTAAACCACAGGCAGCCCAGGTTCCAGCTGGTCTTTCCTCCATAATTTCGAATGAGACTCTTTAAGTGGTCAAAAGCGTATTTAATGCGGCTTTTTCTCATTGAACTCCTACAGTTCCTGTTCTGCAATTTTCGGTACAAATGTCTAAATTGAAAGGACTTGAAAAGACTCACCGAAATTAAAGCGTATTTGCAGTAGAACTGAAAACTTCTCACGCACTTTCACTACGAACAAATTGTTTGAGAGAATTCAGAAATTAAATGTATGAAAGTTCCATCGAAAAATGCACAACAAATTACAACTGTTCCACAATCTTACTGATATATTTTCAGTTTCTTTATTATATGTTGCGACATCTTCTTCAATATCTGCTCGTTTACAGTGAGCTATCAGTGAATCCTCTACACTCATGATCACTTGTCACATCACAAATTTGTAGGTAATTTAAGGCCTTCTAGCTTTTACATTTTTCTAGACGCTTGGTCCATTTAGAATTTATTCAGGGATTCTGTTTTTACTACAATATTGCCTTTAATCAAGATTTTGTGGATAGCTCTGCTCTGTATATCAATACTTTTATTAAGGTTATATTTTTTAAAACTTAAAGTTATCCAAAAATGTAGAATAATTTCAAACTATATTTCACATATTTGCAATATTGGCGAACTACCGGAAGATTGGTGTAAAATTGATAGCGGAGCTCGCAGCGCGCGTAGCGTAGCCCCATAATTATACAAAATAGTAGTAACCATCAAGCCGAAAAAATTTGGACTTGCGACCGTACGACCGACCGAACAAGGGGATACTTTAAGCATACGCGGCCAAGTGCATTGCAGGCACGTTCTTAGCCATTATGTAGTGGAAGGGCGCGATTGCGTGTGTAACTAGATAACCCCATTAGTGCCAGGAGACACTGGCTTTACGTGAACTAGTAAATGTAAAGCCGCGTAAGCAAATAATTTGCAGCTCGCATTTTGAGCCGGAAATCAAACTGGTGAGGTTGTAGTTGAACATTAATTCTCAGTATTTTGCAATTTTTAATCAACTCGCAAAGCAATAATACTGACAGAGTTAAAACTTTGTCGACCGGAGGAAATTGTTCTAATTCAAGTTCGTGGAGAAAGGGTTTTGGGTGAAAATAGGCTGGAAAGAAAGAGACAGAGCGACCAAAGAAAGCAAGAAGTAAAAGGCGTAAAGCGAGTCGAGAAAAACGGAAAAAAATAGAAAAATAGGCAAAATACGGCGAGAGGAACGCGAAAGAGAACAAGAAAAGGCATAAGTAAAAAGGCGAATATCTAGCGAAGAGCAACGTAAAAAGGGAAATACAAAGAGCTCCAGAAAACAGACTCAAAATGGGTCATCAACAAAGACGGAGAAGCGAACTGTTACAATATGCGCGTGAATTCTATCAGTGATTAACTAGACTAGGTTCGAGTTACATTGGTATGTTTTGGTCACGACGTATGTTAATAAAAACAGTTGATTGAACCAATCTTGAAACATGGTGGCAGCGAAATAGGACAAAGAATCCATCGCCTCCCGCTTTCAGCGTCGCAACTACAATTTAAATCATCCTGTAGCCATCACCTGGCTCTTCGCAACAACCACAAGCACAACATGGAATTGTGCGACACCCGTCTTTTGGCGCGATGTCTGGGATAGTGCCTCCTGGAAAATTATGTATTACTGGAAACGTAGCGGACAACTGGAAGGTATGGAAACAAATGTGGAGCAACTACATGGTTATTGCTCAACTCGAGATAAAACCGCCGGCGTACAAGGTCGCGTTGTTTCTCCATTGTATCGGTGTTGATGCGTTAAAGATTTTTAACGTGTAGCGGGTTTCGGTTCTTTAGGTATAAACATACCTGATCGGAGGTAGAGATTTACTGATTTCAAGCACTCATCTTTGTATCTAACTGATTATCCTTTATTCTTGATTACGGTACTTGAAAACGTAAAACCTGAAAGGTAATTTATGGCATAACATGCTATTAAGAACGATTAGAAACTATACATAACATGAGCTATTGTGCGATCACTCGTACACATAGGGCGTACACGATAATACTATTTATAATTAATTCACGCAATAACCGAGATAACAAACATAATCCGCAAACATGCAAATCATACCACTTTTCTCCGGTAAAATTCTTATTATTTTACTGCCTCAAATCTTGTAACTTTGATCTTAATCGACTGCGTCCGAGGACAACTAGCATTCTCTCTAATTTCATTGAACTTATGACACTTAACTCAAAACGGAAATTATGTAGTCGACGATTGTGGAATCATAGCTAATCATTACATAACGGCTTCCAGTTCGAAAGTCCAAACGATAAAAATGACCTGGCAAAGATTCTACAAAAGTTCAACAAATTCACCATCGGAGAACTGAACGAAACCTTTGAAAGGTACACTTTCAACTTCAGAAATCAACAGGAAAACGAAAGCATTGATTCTTATGTCACCGCCCTTCGCACACTCGCAAAAACATGTAATTTTTGTGAGTGCATGCGTGACTCGATTAATCGTGACAGGGTTGTCCTGGGCATTTAAGATCATCGCACCTTCTGCAAGAACGGAGCCTCACTCTGTCAAAGAGTATCGATCTTTGCAAAAGTTCTGAAGCGAAAAATTTGCAATTGAAAACGATCTCTGGCGCCCAGAACGAAGATGTTCACGCCGTGAAAGATAAACACCCATCAAACCGCCGTGATGACAAGTACGAGAACATCGCCCTGAAGAGAGAAAGGTATCAGCTTCCCGTACTTGATGACATACTCCCGGAGCTCTCAAAAGCTAGAGTATTCTCGACAGTTGTGTCCTTGCCCCTGAATCCCTGAATCCAGCGCAGGCGCCAAAATGGCAGCCACGAATCTTTTTCGTTCTGCACTTTTGTGTTTGTTTTTAGTATCTTATATTGGTATTTTACCAGTTAATCAGCTGCAAGACTTGCCACTACAAGACCAAATCGAATATCTCTATCAAATATCTCAAGTGTTAACGTCTGTCAAAATTAGCGGTTCAACCGGTTTCCATCGAACAGGCCGTGCAATTTGCGTTTGGAGAAAACATGGCTTTGTTTCCCTCAGCATTCCCGGACACGATCCTCCGATTGAAATAACTATGTATATGGATGTTGCAACCAACCCGGGCCCAAGCTCTTCCTTACATCAACGAAACTGGCAAACAGATGGAACCATAAATCATCCTCCAAGTTTTAAAATTCGCGGGAATTCAGTTTGTCTTTCCTATTTGCATACTAACGACTGCACGAGACTCTGTTATTCACGCCAAGATCTTCTTAATATTCGCCGTACCATCTCAATACCGCCACATTCTAATGCTCTAGGCTCGTTAAAACTTGCTGGAATTCTGAGATATCGTAGAAAGAGAGCAGGAAAGCACCGAATACCAGTAATTATATCCAATCAATCGCTGAAAACACGACACTTGCAAAGAAGTTATCAACGGGCACCGGGAAGAAACATCAATAATTTGATTACAATTCCAACAAAGAATGGCAAAATGCAAAAGCAAAACACCAGCCATTTCGTACCAACCATTATGTTAGCGAATACTATGTCACTGGTTCCTAAGCTGAGTGAAGTTGAAGAACTAATCTTAAGGGATGAAATTCAGGTCTGCTGCATTACAGAAACCTGGCTGAAAGACCACATCAGCGACACAGTTGTAAACATTGAAGGATATAACATCACACGGACCGACCGATCATCTCACGAGCATGGAGGAGTCTGTGTATATGTCAAGGAGGACGTCAAATATGAAATTCCCGAGAAGTTACGTTGCTGTAACGACCATGAAATAATCTGGCTCAAATTAGATCCATCACGCTCTCCCCGCGGTTTTTCTTGCATCTTGCTGGCCGTCGTTTACTACCCAGGCCGTAACAGTCCAGCAGAATCCGACAGTCAGAATTTGCTCAACCATCTATTTGACAGTTTGAAATCAGCCGAATCTTTGTATCCAAATTGTGGAATTATTGTCACTGGCGATTTTAACCGTCTTGATATGTGCCATTTGCGGAACCATTTTAAATTAAAGCAGCTTGTTAAATTCCCCACAAGAGGCCAGGCCACGCTTGATCTAATACTAACAAACATGGGCAATCACTTCTCAACGCCCGAGAGCTTTCCCCCCTTTGGTCTGTCAGACCATAGCACAGTCATCGTAAAGCCGAAGGAAAGGATACTGAACCAACATACCAGGAAAAAGATCAATATCAGGGATATGAGAGAAAGCAAGAAGACAAGTCTCGGCCGCTATCTCAGCAATGTCGACTGGTCATGCATCAATATGCAAAGCTCCTGTGAGGGAAAACTCCGCAATTTCAACGAACTGATAACAAACGGCATAAATAACATCATGCCAGAAAAGTCGATTAAAGTTTACCCGAAGGACGCCCCTTGGATGACAATAAAACTCAAGGAGTTGATTCGTTTGCGTCAAAATGCATTTCATTCCAACAAGAAGGGTCCAGTTTTCAGATTCTACCGCAATGCTGTCAATAGAGAAAGGAAACTATGCAAAGCAGCCTACTATACTTCAAAAGTGCAAGATCTCAAAGGTGTGAATCCCCGTCAGTGGTGGAAAGAGATAAATAAACTGAGTGGATCCAAAAAACAAAACCCCAATTTACTGTCCTCCCTCGATGTACAGCAATTCACCAACATGTCCCCCCAAGAAATCGCCAGTGCAATAAATGAAGCTCTTCTAGAACCGCTCCAGTCTTATCAGCCTATCAACTGTGAGAACACGTCTGTTCTCCTTCCTACAGGAGAAGGCGCCGAATTCCCTAAAATATCAACACATCGAGTGTACATTAATCTGAAACGCCTCAACAAACACAAAGCTCCTGGCCCGGACGGCATACCTAATTGGGTTCTAAAGGAATACGCCGAAATTTTAGCACAGCCCATAACGGACATTTTGAACACTTCCTACAAAGAACAAAAATTGCCGTCAGTTTGGAAATTGGCGAATATAACACCCCTCCCAAAGGTAAAACAAGTGACTGATCCCAAGAAGGAGCTAAGGCCAATTTCACTTACACCTGCGTTATCAAAACTTGCTGAGGATTTTATAGTTTCTGACTTCATCAAACCGGCCGTGGAAAAAGTAGCGGACCCAAATCAGTTCGGAACGGTATCTGGATCATCCACTGTACTGGCACTCATAAGCATGATACACAATTGGCTTGAAGCAACAGACGGAAACGGAGCGTCAGTTCGGGTCCTTCTTTTTGATTACCGAAAGGCCTTTGACCTAATAGATCAGTCCATCCTAATATCAAAACTGAATCAACTGGACATTCCGAAGAGCGTTATTAACTGGATAGTTGACTTCCTTTCAAATAGGTCTCAGAGAGTTAAACTTGGCAATGACTGTTTCTCTGAGTGGAGCAAAGTGCCTGCCGGAGTACCACAGGGAACCAAACTGGGCCCCTGGCTTTTCCTTTTAATGATAAACGATTTGTCAGTTTCGCTCGACAATTTTAATCTGTGGAAATACGTTGACGATACGACGGTATCAGAAACCGTCCCGAAAGGAAAGATTAGTCACGCGCAAAGTGCAGTTGACCAAGTACAGTCCTGGTCTGAGGAAAATCTATTTCAATTGAATTGCGCAAAAACAAAAGAACTGTTGATCAGCTTTAGCCCTCAATACCCCCAATTTCCAAAAACCAACGTGGACGGGGAACTAATTGAATCTGTGCAGTGTGTTAAACTTCTTGGACTCAATATTAATTCAACTCTAACTTGGAACAACCATATTACAGAAATAATAAAGAAATCCAACTCAAAACACTATTTTTTGATTCAACTTAAGCGGGCTAAAGTACCTACAATCGATCTTGTAGCAATCTATTGCGCAACCATCAGGTCCTGCCTAGACTACGCCTGCCCAGTGTTCCACCATGCACTTCCGAAATATCTACAAGTCGATCTGGAGAGAGTGCAGAAAAGAGCCCTCGCATGCATCTTCCCTGGAGCATCATACAAAGAAGCCCTCGATCAAGCAAACATCCTTAGCTTGAGAACCCACCAAGAACAGTTGACATCGACACTTTTCCGATTAGTTTTAGAAAACAAAAACAACAAAATTCATTCTTTAATCCCAAAAAGTTATCAGGCTAATTACAATTTTAGGAAACAGAGGAATTTCAATCTTAATCGTTGTAAGACCGACAGAGCGGCAACAAGTTTCATAAATATGTGTTGCAGAAACAGTTTGTACAATTAATTAATGTGAAGTTACGCAATTCAGTTTTATCTGCAATGTAATTTTAATAAAACAGTCTATCTATCTACAGTCTATCGTACTCACGACCTTCACAACCCCCTGTGGAATGTACAGATGGATTCGCTTGCCCTTCGGTCTCTATGCCTCATCTGAGGTATTCCAGAAGCACCTAATTCACGCGCTAGAAAGCCTACCTGGTGTTCTGTGTATCGCGGACGATATCCTCATCTATGGCACTGGAGAGATCGATGAACAAGCAACTGCAAACCACGACAAGAGTCCACAAGATCTCCTTCAAACGTGCAAGGACCACGGCATTGTCCTTAACCCAGACAAGATGAAGCTGAGGATGAGCGAAGTAAATTTCATGGGACATCTCCTGACGAACAAAGGCCTGAAGCCTGATCCTACTAAAGTGGAGGCGATCACGAAGATGCCTAAGCCACAAGACGTGGAAGGCGTTCAGCGCCTCAATGGATTCGTCAATTATCTAGCTGGGTTCCTTCCAAAACTGTCTGAGGTCATGAAACCGATTCGTAGCCTGTCTTGGAAGGATACTTCATGGAACTGGTCCTCAGAACAAGACCAGGTTAGTAACCGAAGCGCCTGTTCTATGATACTATGACCCCTCACAGAACCTCACTATACAATGTGATGCCAGCCAGAGTGGCCTTGGTGCAGCGATACTTCAGAATGGCAGGCGTATGGAGTACGCAAGTCGTTCCCTCACTGATACAGAAACACGTTACGCTCAAATAGAGAAGGAGATGCTGGCGATTGTCTTCGCTCTTGAGCGTTTCAACTAATACACATTTGGTCGACATGTATACATAGAAAGTGACCACAAGCCACTAGAAATAATTCTACAGAAACCATTTGCCCAAACACCTCGAAGCCACCAGTTAATGATGATGCGGCTATAGAAATACGATTTCACCGTGTACTGTGAGCGCGGCAAAAACATACACTTGGCGGACACGCTGTCAAGGGCGTACTTGCCCTACAAAGGCAAAGAAGTAGACGACATCGAATCAGTCAACGTGGTCCGATATCTGCTCATATCTGACCAGCGTCTAGAAGAAATAAGAGCAGAGACCCGGAAAAACCAGTCTCTGCGAGAGTTGTCAGAGACTATTCTAGTGGGATGGCCTGAAAGCAAGGAAGACGCCCCAGCACTGACACGCCCTTACTTCAGCATGCGTGATGACCTGACCGTACAAGATGGCCTGGTCTTCAAAGGGAATTCCGTCGTGATACCTAAGAGCCTTTGCGCAGATATGAAGCTGAAGATTCACTCGTCCCACCTCGGAATAGAGGCATATTTGAGGCGGGCACACGAATTTATCTACTGGCCAAGCATGTCTGCAGAATGAAAGAATACATCTCCGCGTGTGAAACGTGTAGAGAACTTGACAGCATGACACACGCAAAGGAGACACTGATGTCCCACGAAGTCCCATCTCGTCCTCGGGAAAAGAGATCCACAGACATCTTTACCATTGATGGGAAGAATTACCTGGTCACGATAGATTATTGCAGCAATTTCTGGGAGGTGGACAGGTTACCGAACACTAAAGCCAGCACCACCATCCTGAAGCTGAAGAGTCACTTTGCCCGCTATGGCATACCTGATCAAGTGATTAGTGACAACGGACCGCAATTTACATCTGACGAGTTTGCCAGCTCTCCAGAACATGGGATTTTGAGCATCTTACTAGTAGCCCTGGAAATAGCAAGGCCAACGGCAGAGTCTGGGATGAAGACAGCTAAGCGCATGCTGAAGAAATCAATCAGAGCTGGAACCGACCCATACCTCGCCGTACTCGATTATAGAAACACACCCACGCAAGGAATGACAACCAGCCCAGCGCAACGCCTGATGAGCCGAAGGACCAAGGCACTCCTTCCTACAACTCAGAGCCTATTACTGCCTAAGAATATAAACCTGGAAAGTGAAAAGAAAGGGTTGTGACAGCACTAGCAGGCCAGCAAAGGATCTACCCAGCCTGTCTCAAGGTGACGTTGTTAGGATGAAGCCATTTAAGCTTGGCGACAAGTCTAGGTGTAAGGTCCAAGTCAGTGCAAGGCTTGCAATTGACGAGCGATCAAACACCGTTGAGACGAACAGCGGAGCAGTCTACCGCAAAAATCGACAGCATCTGCAAAAAACGTCTGAATCACCTGTTGAACCCATCACCACAAAGCCAGAACCGAAAATGGCCAGCACAGATGAAAAGGCAACTACAACCACAGCATCTACCGCTGATCAGAGTAGTGCCCCTCATAAGTCACACCCTAAAGTGGTGACCGTCCCAAACAGTGTCGGAGGTCAGAGCGAGTCAGGAAGAGCCCAGTATACCTCAAGTACTATGTCTGTGACTAGACTCGTGACTTTATATCTTTTGTTGCCGTTATCATAGTGATTATTGCTCATCGTTTATTGATCGTCGTATGTCAAACTGACCAGCTGATAGATTTGTCTTACGGACCCATTGATTCCGAAATGAACTAACATCAACATTTTTTTTTTCGTTCTTTTTCTATCAGTGATTAACTTGACTAGGTTCGAGTTACATCCGTATGTTTTGGTCACGACGTATGTTAATAAAAACAGTTGATTGAACCGATCTTGAAACACGAACCGCAAAGGATCCGAGAAAGAAGAGGAGGTAAGTCGTGTCTTATCTGGGTTTTCTCCTATGCTAAAGCCCAGAAAAATTCAAACCTTTTTTCCCAATCTTCGTTTGATACTAGCTTCAGTTTATAATTCAAATCACGTTTGTTGTTTTACCCTGGGAACGAAGTGGTAGCCTTTCCCAAAATTGAATTATAATAAGATTGAGTCAGCGATGTTCATGTTTACCTTAAGTGTGACGCGGTAATTTGATTTTGAAAATATTGTTATGTGAGAACCCGTCAAACATCTGAGAATCAAATTACCGAGCGCAAATGTGAGGAGCAAACAAACTCACGGGCGAAATGGTGTTAATCCTGCATTAGGAGGAGTGAGTGTCATTGTTTGGACATGATACTTTTCAGGGCTATGTTTTCATGCTTTCTACTCGATTCGTTCGATCTTGAAGAAATGGTTTGTCTCACAAAACCTGGAGCCACTTTCTCTTCTCTCAACATCTCGAGGCGTACTTAATGCTCGGGTTATGATGAACATTCCTGCGATACTATAATTTTTTCCCTAGTGCTGGAAACTGAAGAATCAATCTCTAAAATTATTTGTCATCACATTTTGAAAGAAGCGTCCAAGCTGTGATCGTGCAATTAAACGGGGTCCTGGCAATTTGAGCTCATAAGCACGCTGGTAAGCACATGGTTGTAGCGTTAATAATTCTTGTTTACAGTTTTCGAATTCGAGAGCAGTTTTTGAGAGACTGTACCTGTAACCATCCTGGATTTTTTCTGTTGAATTTATTGAGGTACAATCTCGGAATTTCATAAGAGACTATGAACGATAAATTTGTATCGGCACCGTAATTTGGGGAGTTTTGTCAACACATTACTGATTAGTTTACAATTCGTGAACCATTTCTGTAACCTGCTTGGATATTTTCTTGTGAATTAATTGAGTCACATTCTCTGAATTTCATCAGGAATTAAGAACGATTAATCCTTTTATTACACCCATTTTGAAATCACTGGTGGTCCCTGTAATCTGATTGGCTCTTATTGGTGCAATTTATTCATGAATCGCACCATTTTTTGCTTTGAATTACATCTTTTTCCCAGCCAGTGAGGAGGCTGCACTCAAAACAAAACAACCAATCACATTTCAAGGCTTTTTTAAAGTAACCAATCAAACTGTAAGAAAATGAAAGACAGAGAGCATCATGTGGCAATTTTTGCAACTTTTGTTTCTAAAACTCAAATTCCCCCCCCCCACCCGCCCAAAATGGATGAATTTAATTTCAAACCTGTTCAATACTGTATCAATAAAATATTTGAACTGACTAAGTCCTGTAATTGGGTGATTTCAAAGTGGATGTAATATAGTGGTAATTGAACCTTGTGTCATGCAATTTTGGTTGGAAATCATACGTGTGATTTCAAATCATGCGGATGATTTCAGTCTAAATTGCAATCCACTCATTTCAATTACCATTATATATGTAGCACAAGTGAAGTACATTTTAAACTTTCCATACAATTTTAGGAAACTATACTTAATTGACTCATGATAAATTGGCCTGGCATAACCCATTGATTATTTTATTATTTTGTAGCTCCCCAAAAGCCCGGCTGATGACTCTGGAGGTACTGAACTTGATATATTTAATACATAGGACACCCTTCAAGGAGGAAGGTTAGAATAAAATTGCTCTCACGAATGTATCTTGCACCCGGTTTACATATGTAGATAACTGCTTAAATTTACCTATTATAGCTGTATTCAGGAGCATAGACATTTAGGTAATATGCTTCTGCTTTATTTTATTGTAAGGGATTTCATTTTATGTAACATATATCCATTCCTTTAATTTCCTCCATAACTTGCTTGCAAATAATTAAATTTTATGTTTTTATTTAAGTGTGAGATGATAAAACAGAAGTGTTGCAGAGTTCTCTTTCCAGATTGAATTCAGGTGAGAACATCAGTAAAGTAGTTGATGTCATGTGCTTCTCCAGAATCTTTAATTTTATTGCCTTGGTCTTTTTCACAAAGTGTCTCTTATATCTGTGTGTGCCAGCTAATGATTACAATCTCAGTGAATAGATATGCCATATTTGAGTAGTTTTTTTTAAATCAAATGAAATTTTGAGTTTTGGCATTCACTATTTCGAAATTCATAAATGATATTCCTTTTTCATCCTTGTAAAGAGATATTACACATTTCTTTGACTAAAATCTGAATCATGTAGTCAACTTAATTTTGATGAGTTTGAAACTTCCTCCTACATAAGAACACTTTACTGGAATATAATGTTACATTTATTTTCTGTCTTTCTTGTACATATGACCACCTCACATGTTTTAACACTTTAACTCCCTTGAGTGACCAAAACAGAATTTCTCCTTACTATATCTATACAATATCATGCAGACAAGTGATGAGAATGAAGAAATATAACAATTATGGGATTACTAATTGATCTGATACCAAATTCTCCAAACAAAATGAGAATCATTTGGTAGACAGTAAGGAGAATTACTTATGAGATCTTGGGAGTTAAAGGGTTAAAATGGGGGATGTCATTATATTGTAATGATTAAAATATACTTATGTTTTCCCATGTTAAAAAAAAATGTGATGAGAATCTGATCTTATGGAACACTTTCAATTGTAAAACCTGTTGCTGGTGGCTTAATGTGTCTTAAATGTTTAAATTTTCATGGGAAATGCTTTTTTCGAAAGTGGAGATACAGAAGTTCTCAAAGCTGTTAGAAATGAGCTTTTTGCAAGAAATGAAAAGCTAATTCATAATAATTACACCTTAAGAGCCCATGACTGTAAATATCAAAATTCTGATCATTCACCAGGAATACCCTTTTAGGGAGATGTATTCAAAAAGAATATTTCGAAGTTTGAAAAATCAAATGTTTCCGAGAAAATGGAGAAAAACGAAAATTTGGGTTTTTACCTAATTAATTATGCAAAAAATACAGTAAAATTGACCAACTTTAGTGTGCTAGTACTGAAGGAGGATGTTTCGTAGGAAATCAGGGGTGTTTTTACTTCAAAACATAATTCATTTGATTTTTATTTGTGGTTTTTTTAGGAGCTTTGGTTTAATTTTAAAATTTACATGATTTTTTAACAAAGTACTCTCGAACACTTGTTGCAAAAAGCGAAAAATCGAGCAACTTCAAGCCTTCAAAACGCGTCTTAGTATGTGTGAAATCATTTCAATTAACTGCATGCTGGCACAAAGTTTGGTCCTTATACGAAAATAATATGAAATAAAGAATTTGGGTAATTCTGAAAAGTGCCGGCAAATTAAAAGAGTTTTTGACGCACTTTGGCCAAGGTCAGGAATTTGCATGATGCAAATCGGTTGTAGAAATCGTACTTGAGAGCAACGAAGTAAACAAGTTAGTTAAAGATGGTTAAATTTCTTTAACTCTTCTGAAGAGGGTTGTAAATTGATGTGTAGATACGAAATTTTCTGTTAATTTGAATTGCAGAAGACTCTGTTATTTTGACTCGCTATTTCAACAGCACTACTTTCACCTAACTATAGATAAGGGCCGCTGTATAGTTCACCATTTTTGTTGACTAGGTGTTTATTATCGACATCATTCTTGGTTGAATAGCTTCGTTTTCTGCAACTGCGATAATATTTCTTTTGAAATATCTTGGCTATCTTGGAAAAAGTTATGTGAATAAACAAAGTCACGCAACACCGCAAGCTTCTGCTGTGTAGTTTTTCACCTCAAGATAGCAGCCCAACTATTTTTATGCTATTTACTCTTAACTTTTTCGGAAAAGTGGCCACATTTCTGTCAAAGAACTTGATAAAAAGGACTTATTTAAAAGGCAAATAGCAAAAGGCTGCTTCAAAAAATTGAGGTTTATATGAACGTTGATGTAAAACGGGGGCCATGGAGCATATTTTGGATCGGAGGAGCTATTACAGTTCCCACGTAGTGTGAGCTCATTGGTACCAACTTATCTATGAGGGTTCTGGGTCCTCCCCTCCGAGGAGGGCCTCCTTGTGTCTGTTTCTTAGTACGCCTTTCTTAGTACAGAAAGACTGCTGACAGGGTGTCCTGGGGTATGCTTCCCCGGCAAATTTTGAAATCTAGAGCTCCTGAAGTCACTGGAAGCGCGTTTCAATCCTAAGAAAAATTTGTCCAATTTTTTAATACAAAGGTTAAAATAAATAATAATGATAATAATAAATTGTTCTCTTGGTGGGGTTACAGCCCACTCAACCCCATAGCTCCGCAGTCCCCGTATTAAAGGCGCAAACCGGAAATGAAAAAGTCCCCTTCGAACCGCACTTGGCAGTCAGACAGGATCAGGCCGGCTGGATGTTGTTCGATATAGACTCATAAAAGAATTTATACAAGTAATATAAAACGAGATATATAGGACTGGATGCTTTAGAATGGAGTTTTGACGAAAAAAGGATCGTGTCCGCTTTACTAGGTAACTTCACCTTTCATCCAACATGACAATTGTCACGCAATTGAAACATTTTTCTTTTCGTCTAGACAGTCACGAGAAATGAAACAAAAAACTCATTGGCTTAAAAAATTAATTAATCGCTATTAAATACTGGTCATTATTCTTGTAAATTTTATGTTGTAGCCGTCAAAAGGGCCTTTCCTACACCAGAACCGTTAAGCGGTACGATTTCTACAACTGATTTGCATCATGCAAATTCGTGACCTCTGGCCACAGTGCGTCGCAAACCTTTAGGTTTTGCCGGCACGTTTCTGAATTACCGAGATTTTTTATTTCACATTGTTTTCGTATAAGGACCAAACTTTGTGCCAGCATGTAGTTTGACATGATGTCACACATACCAAGACGCGTTTTGAAGGCTTGAAGTTGCTCGATTTTTCTCTTTTTGCAACAAGCGTTTGACAGCACTTTAAAAAAATCGTGAATTTTAAAATTAAACCAAAGCTCCTTAAAATGCCACAAATAAAAATAAAATGAATTATACACGTAGTTCTTTTGTGAATGAGCAAATTACTATTTTTAAAGCACTCTATTAAGTTTAAATTTAAAAGCAGAAGTTATGAAGTTATCCGGCAGGCTTGAACCACAGTTTTATATGAAATCTGCATGCTCGCGTGTGTGTGTTTTTTTTTAACATAAAAACCGGGGTTATGACTACTCCGGATAACTTTACTATGTGCAATACGGGTACAGGTAGATGTTGTAAAAAAGTTTGCGTAGCTTTATCGTTTGTACACATTTCTTTTTCTAAGAATCTTGTTTGTCCAGCTTATGCTGAATTCTAATTTTTCAACCAAATTTTATACTCTTTTGAATATTGTTAGATCTCTTAGTATCAGTTAACATTCATATGATTAAAATAATTACATGAAATCTTGCAGATGTATGGTACATTACTTTTTCCTCTGATCCTGCTATCAATTTCTATGTGGGATTGATATTGGCTATAAAAGTATGGGCAAAGTAAAGTTTTGCACAGCCTATGCAGCAAATTTAAGTAATAAAATATTGTACCTTCTTAAAACTAGTTTATCAGAATAAGAATGAGTTACCAGGCACAAGAATGACTTTTCACGGTGATAGTTTCCAGGTTTAAAAAAGTCACTGCCTACTAAAATCCTCTGTTGCTTTGCCCTGACAGCCCAACCTCATTTAAACATTGGCAACAGGAGCGATTACCAAATTAAAGATACAGACAAGAGGGCCTATTCCTACATACATCCTCCTCAATCCTGTTAGCTTATGGACATGGTATTTCAAACATGGTGCATATGCCACAAAATTTCCATTTCACTTACTAATTATTTTTAAACGGTGTTTACAAGTAGTGGAAAATGGTTGGGTTTAAATATACCGTAATTTCCGGTCGTTTACCCGCACCAGCCGATTAAAAAAACAGATTAAAAAAAAAAAAACAGATTACCCGCACTGGTGGATAACCCGTACGTTGTTATTCAACTTTTTGGTGGCGAAAACGTGACATTAAGGTGATACATTTCAGTCTTTTAAAAGTTGTCTGATCCAACTTTCGAAAACTTGAAAGCGTCTTTGTCGAGTTTAAAGGTCAAAGAAATTCAGACGCGTGCACAATTCTGTGTCAATATTGGCATGTACTTTATTGATAAGATTATACAGTAAAAACACCAGCGGCCCATGCCCAAATCTCAACGTTTCATACTTGACAGAATGCGAATTTGCGGCCACATTTTGTGCGAGCGATCGTTCAGCGCCATGTTGATTTGTTGAAAAAAAGCTGGGTGAGTATTAAAACTCGAATTATAAAGTAATGTCGGCGATTTCTTAAAAAATCGATATCTCCGGTTCTAATAGGCCTAACAAGTCCCTTAAAACGGGAAAATTCTCTTTAGCTCAAGCTAATGTTAAATGGAAATTTGTTACTGATGCGCCGGATATCTTTGGATAATTTTTGTGACCATCAAGGTTTTGTTTTCACGCGTGCCGATATCAATTTGTTCGTCGCGCAACTAATTATGCGTGAAATAAACTCAAGTCGGCATCATGTTTTCGTGCCGCTTTGCGGTACTATTAATACAATAAAATTCACTTGAGAGGTGGAAACGCATGTTGGTGATAATTTTTTTCAATTCAACTACCACTAGATTTTAAAATTGTCACATAACCCGCACCTCCCTATTACCCGAGTATACAAAGATTTGCCAGTAGATAGTCAAATGAAAACTTTTTACATATCTTTAAAATCTATTTTGTGTTTCATGTTAACATGGTGCAACAACTCCACTTTCCCATAAATTCATTTACATATCAATATTTTTATAAAGGTTATATTTTGTATAACTAAAAGTTATTGAAAAATGAAGACTAATTTCAAATTATATTTCATATATTTGCAATATTGGTGAATTATCGCAAAATTGGTGTAAAATCGATAGATACATCTTAATTATTATCCAGAATTCAATTTTGGGAATGGAGTCTTAAATCAAGATAGCATCGTTCAGTTGATGAATTTGGATATTCTCGATACTTGTGTGTTGGAAAATGTGATGATGTCAAAGGGAGAACTTATTTGTAAATCAAAAAACATCCTTCACTTGATGAATTTGTATACTCTCAATAGTCATTTGTTAGAAAAAGTGATGATGTTGAAGGGGGGGACTTATTTATTAATCAAAAAATCCATCCTTCAGTTGATGAACTTGTATATTCTTGACAGTCTTTTGTTGGAAAAAGTGATTATGTTGAAGGGAGAATTTATTTGTTAATCAAGAAAGCATCTTACATTTGATGAATTTGCTGAACTCCCAGTATGATTCAAATATTCCCAGTGCCTTTTAAGACTTTTAGAGGAAAATTAAACGTATGCTCTAGAAATCATGTAAGTTTTTTTCTAGCCATGAAAGAGCATATTTTGAATTAAGACACGACCACGTTGTGACATTCTAGACAGGAGGGTAACCTTTCTTCGAATGCACCTGAAACTTGATTGTTGTTTGGTAACTTGGCCGCTTACCAAGAGGATAAAAGACTCACATTACGGCTGCACTCAAAACTTAATGATTCGAATCTGGGCGCAAGTGGCCAAGCAGCAAATTAAGCAAAAACCATTTGTTGAGCGCGCGTTTTGATCTGCCATTTGATTTGACTTCTGGGATGTCGTGAGTTTCCAGCTAGGTTACATAATTGTTTTTCAAAGTGGCGGCGTACGCATTCGAATTTGTGGCAAAGAAGATAATCTTCGAAAGGTTCAGTTACTCCATGGAATCTCAAGTCTCGGTAGATAATTATTGTTTTTAAATAAATAAATCTTGATTATAGTCTATCCTTGCGGTATAGTGCTCAATGCGTTCGCTGAGCGTGGTATATCTGAAGGTTGATCTAGTCAGCGAGACATGTGACTCTGAGTTTCACGCTTACGCGATCATCAGACAGATTCATCTGCCTGATGATCACATAAGCGTGAAACTCAGAGTCACAGAAAAGTATGTCTTATTGATTTGTTCAACTTTCAGATATAGTTACTGTTTTTACATACTTTTTAACAAGAGATGTAAAAAATTTCAAGGTTTTCCGGAGCATATCTCTCCCTTACAATATAAACTGACAAGGGACCTTGCTAGTGTTCGACTGGTATGGGATTAGCACAGGTCTCCACGGGTTCGAGTACATTGCACGGTGATAACGAGCCTCACTGTGAAGTCTTCTACGGTGGGAACCGTGTACAGCGGTCGCAACTTCAACAAATCAGCTATTTTGAGCCACTTTTATCGCGTGTAATAACGGTATCTGAACTGTGCACCTACCCCTCCCCTCCCAACCCATCATCAGCCCCAGCTTTTTATCAGTTGACTGTTGTTAGGTTAAGGGAGGGGTAAGTGCAGAACAGAAATCCCACAGCCTACTTATACTTTGGAAGTTAAATAATCAGGAGTAAGATGTTTTGCTGAGTTTGCTATAATCTCTGTTATGGCGGATTGCTAAAAGGAAATTATGATCAAAATATGTGTAGAAAGAAGGTCAGTTCATCTGGCTAAGAATGGTGAGTAATTCAATGCTGTTACTCAACATTCGGCAGCTTTACCTTGAAACACATTGAATCGCTGAACTGGACACGACTTACAGAAGTGCACGGTTTTCCTAACTACGAAAAAAACATCTTTAGCAAAGACTCTTGAGGATTCGGCTTATTACACTGATCCGCTTCACGTAGGTTTCGTTCTATTGCTATCGCTACTGACGTTCCTCTTTGATTACTATATCGCTACAGTTTCGGCTTCTCTTAAGTCATCACCGTTGTCTCTTTGTACTTCGTTTGAGACCCCATCATTAAAGGCCTCACTTAACTTCTCGCAGATGAATTTCCGCACCATCTCCTGAATCTCATCTTCCTCTGGGCATTTCAATTCGCTTAGTAACTTCCTGAGGTCATTCACAATCTGCGTAGTCGATCCTCTATGCACCTCTAAAGACGATTTCACCAACATGTAGATATCCAGAGGTAACAGCACGGCGCCAGCAACTCCTCCAGCTAAATTGGCCCCCGCTAAACCCCCAGCTCGAGCGAAGGCACCAGCAGCAGCGAATGCTCCAGCCCCTACTGAAGCCGTGGACGAGAACACCCGCAAAAACCTGGCGAAGAAATCTATTTTCTCCTCAGTTGAAGTTGTGTACTCCCTTCCGGCTAGATTGTGGAGAAATTCAAAACCATTGCTTTCTATTTCTCTTAAGTCGGAGATGAACCTCTCAAGGTTTTCCAATTTTTCTTGAAGCTGCGTGCAAGCTTCCTTGTCCTCGTCAATGGCTCCCTGAACGTCTTTCAATCCTAGCTTTGCGAGGATTATCTCGATTACTTTGGAAACAGACATCACCAGGCTTCCTGTGCCTCCAATTCCGGCGCCAATGAGGGAGACCACAAGCCCGGCCCCAAAAGTGAAGGGCGTGGCGATCAGGCCCGCTATCGCTAGGATTCCTCCTACGGTACTCGCGGAAGCACCTGCTATGGTCGATTTACTAACATTTATATGTTGCTGGTGTAATTTGGATGCAAGTTTCTCCAGTTTTTCCATAGTGCGTTTCCTCTTCGGTATCCACTGCTTAAAGGTGTTAACCAATTCTTCCCCCAACCGGTCTAATTCTCGGAATCTCGTTATGACTTGGACATAAACTTCTTCTGGCAATAAAATTCTGCAAGACAAATATTCAATGAAGAAAAAGAATTATTTTAACTTTTAAGGATCTATTCTGTTTAGGTGCTGGGCTGCTTTCCGATAGGTCAGTATTATTCGCCTGAGGCCTGAGAGAGGGGAGGGGAAGCTGAGGGAGTTTGATTTTGTCTCGATAACATTTATCTGATTCCCCCCTTCCCCCCCCCCCCCTCCATAAGGCTCTGTAATATTCTTATCCTTTCCATTCCTCCCCCCTACTAGCAGTTTATTAGCAGTCTTTTATATTCTGCTGGCGATAAGTGATTCCCTCTCCGCTCCGTTTCCTCCTAAAAACTCTGTGCCTCCCCCCCCCCCCCCACCCTCTTCAGTGCCACATGTCCCTTCTCTTTAAGAGCTCAACTCAAGGTCCTCACAGACCCCAGATATTTTTCACGAAAACGACCCTTAAAAGCAGGGTGTGTAGATTTGTGTATGTGATCCAGAGTAGACTTTAAAATTCCTTTCTTGAGGCACTTAAGAATCTGCTTGACTATGTTTAACTTTCCATTCATCACGTTATCTGCAAGATTACAGCGTAACTTACATCACTTTAACGATGAGCTGTCTGAAGTTGACTGGAATCGAATAATTGCAAATGGAACAAATTGTGTGAACAAATTGTTTTCGTCGTTTTACAACAAGTATAATACAATTGTTAACAAACACACCCCCGTGAAAAAAATATATCATCGCAAAGCAGAACAGCTACCTAACCCTTGGATAACTAATGGAAATAAAGCGGCCATTAAGGTTAGAAATAAATTATATGCAACTGGAGACAAAATTAAGTGCAAACACTATAGAAATAAAATTTGTACACTGATACGCGTAAGCAAAAGGAGATATTATGATACGTTTTTCGAAAACAGTATGGTCAACAAGGAAGCAATGAACTTTTACATCCACGGAAACAAAACTGAAACACATCTGCACTAAAGGATTATTAATAATCGTAACAAAATTGTTAAGGAAGGTTCGCGGATACCTAACATTATTAATGAACACTTTGCAACAGTCGGAAACAGACTTGCTAATAACCTACCCATTCCCCAAAAACATCTTCTAGACTATGTTGATAAGTGTATATCTCCAATTTCATCCTTCCTATTTCAACCTGTTTTACCCGAAGAATAGTCAGAAATATTACTTGTACCGAATGATAAGTCTTATGGTTTATACTCCTCACCTACCAAAATACTCAAATGTTCGAGTGACGTCACAGCCCCTGTTCTTTCAGGGATACTAAATACATCTATCAGATTAGGGACTTATCTATCAAAGCTCAAAATTGCTAAAATTACGCCGATGATACAGATGCAAACAACTACAGACCTATCTCTTTACTTTTAAATTTTAATAGAGTATTCAAAAAAATAATTTACAACAGATTGACGAGCTATTTAAAGAAACACGAACTTTTGTATTCCTCACAATACGGCTTTCGTAAGGGGCATTCAACCCAACACGCAATATTGGACATTGTTAATGATATAGAAACAAACATGAATCAATGGTTGTTATCTTGTGGAGTATTCCTTAATCTTAAAAAAGCCTTCGACACCGTCGATCACGACATTTTGCTTGATAAGCTCAATCACTATGGCTTTCGTGGATTAATTAATGATTGGTTCTCATATCTCAAAAATCGCACGCAAAAAACGCAAGTAGGCCATCATATATCAGATAAAGCTGTCGTTAGAGGTGGTGATCAATTCTTGGACCATCGCTTTTCTTGCTATATGTCAGTGATATCCACAGATGCTTGAATAAATTTAGGTTTTACCTCTTTGCAGACGGCACTAACATTTTGTATGCGGACAAAATCTGAAAGATCTTTAGACAATAGTCAAAAATGAGCTACAAAACCTTTATAACTGGTTTACAGCCAACAAACTAACTCTTAACATTAAAAAATCCAACTTTGCAATTTTTGTTCACTCGTTTTCCAGAAATAAGAGTCCAGAGAAATGTCTCATACAAACTTAACGGGTCTAATTCGAAAAAACTTAAGGGGCGGTACGCTAAGCTTATTTTCTCTGTAGAGACAATACATGTCGTAAAGAAGACTTAGAAGATATTAAAAATTAATCCTCAGGTATACACTATCCAAGAGGGTATGCAAGAGATTCGTGCCCTCTTGGGTAGTGTATACCTGAGAGTTATTTTAATCTCTTGCATACCCTCTTGGATAGTGTATACCTGAGGATTAATTTTTAATGAATGATTCACACTAATTTATATCAGGAGACCGCTCTTTGTCTGGACTCTTTCTTTTGACTGAAAGTTGAGGCATCCACTTATATAATTATTATCATTTACTAGTTCCCGAATGTCTTTGTCAAGCTCGGCTATTCTTGACTGACATCATTGCAATTTCCCATGATATTTCGACTGGAGGCATTTCCCGCCTAAAGTGTACGGTCGAGGGCGATTTGATTTACCGCATAAACAACAAGATTATATTTTGAGACCTTGCGAATCCATCTGCTGGATTTCTCCCTGTCTAATTAATCTGGCACGGAGACCAATTGAAGATATAACATGCATGTTATTTGGTTACCTGGCGTTGAACGAACAGCTAGCCTTTGTTGGCGCGCTTGAGACCTGCTGGCGGGACAGAACGTATTGTAGTCATCGTGGAATCGACGAAACAATTCGTTCTTTGCAAAAGCTTTCGGCCTGATTTCACATTAACTTTTCGTTAGCACATACCAGGACTTATTGGGGTCGAGATTGGATCCCGTAACTATAGAAAGCTCAGTTGATCGATCGAAGACTTCAGCCTCCATGATAAGATCGCGCCCAGTGATTTTAATGCCAGATTTCTTGTGTTTTCGTAAATTGAAATTCGAGCATAGATGCAGTATTTAGGTGAACATTTAACTTATAATCAACAGGTTTAAATAACCGCACAGACACCTACCGACCGCAAACGTTGATGTAATTCTCTATACTGATGACAGAAATATAACGCCTCCGTAGAATGCATGCTGCGAATTTTTTTCGGGGCCAGAGCTCCTCATGTGAGACCGAAAAAAAAGTCGAGAACTCCGGATAATCGAGGTCCGAATAATCGAGGTTCGACTGTATAGGGCCAAATTTGTTTCGACGTCCAAAAACACGATTTTGGAGAGAGATTGTCGCTTTTTCGTTGCTGTTTTTCAGAATTGGATTTAAACAATGTTGATTGGTGGGAAATGTAAGATTTTGTTTGAATAACCACGAAATATTTTAGAAAATCTACAGATAAACTTCCTCCTTCCGCAAGTTTGATCGTGAATTCGTTAGAGCGTAATGGTCTCGAAAAATTCAAAATATTTCATCATTCTTGACGTACAGGTATACACATATTCTTGAACAAACCTTTGTCCGTCGTTCCAATCCACTTCTAACGACTCAAGATCCTGAAAATTCATTCTTTTATGGATAACTCGTATTCACATATCCAGTACGCCGTAACAGTGTGACTCAAATTGAGTCAATTCCCAGAAACTTTGATTTTTATTTGCATACTGAACACACGACAAGCGCATGTGCACGTGTCTGATGCCTGATATCATACAAATAAACGGTTAATAAATAACAAATAAACGTGAACAATTCTGAAAGGATTGTTTCTGTCATGTGCAGCCTCTTAAAGGTGGTTTTTAAGGGTGGTTTTCTTCAATATTCCATTGAAAGAATGAATACTGGTCCGAAAATGAATGTACGGTGCGTGGATCTGCTAAAGAACTGAGAAGTACACGGTTATTCGCCAGCTGGAAGGTCTGTATTGAGGAAAACCGTACTCAAGACTGAGGGCACAGTTTTTCCCGACACGGGCCGACTTAGGCTGGTGAATAACACTTTTTTTCCTTAAGCTTAACGAAATTCTTTCCAAAAAAAACCCGAATGATTTAGTGGAGGGCTGTAGTAACGGCAAGATCTTCCATAAACTGAACAATTTTTGAGCGAGTATGTGGTAGTTTAAATAGAGGTAATGCAAATTAAAGAGAGATGCTTCCCCGAAATATTTTGATTTGCGTAATGATAAAGGTGATTTTAAAAGGCTTCTAAATGAACTTTGAAACATTATTTTACAGGTATCTGTTACAATCTGACACCGGTCAATTAGAGAGCGCGTAAAAAAAAATAAAGCGGATGCACACTTTTGAAAAAACAACGGAACTAGATTTGCAAGGCCTGTCACGACAATGTTTTCTTGAAAAGCAGTCAACGATCTTACGGAAATTATTATTCGACGATTACTTAATGCAGCAAGATTTACCTCTGTTCAGTAAGTAAATGGCAAGGCAAGTATAATTGTAAGTAAATTTCAATTTTTTTATTTATTTTAAAATTTTTTGTGTGATAATTTGCTCGTTTGTTTGCTGCAATGGCTTGAGTAGATCTGGTGTTTCCTCCATAATTTCGAAGGAGACACTTCAACTACACACATGAGGATTCGATGGGGCTTTTTTTTCATTGAATTCCTTCAGCTTCTGTTGTGCAATTTAAGGTACAAATGTCCAAATTGAACGGACTTGGAAAGACTCACCGAGAGCGCATTTGGTAGTAGAACTATAAAAGCCGTACAAGAGAACTCTTACAAATTCAACCGTAACAAGGCGGGAATGCTACTGTTTATATATATTTTTTTGCTCGCTGCAAAATAATTTGTAAGGAAATAAGTACAATGGCCTCAATTTAGAAGAAAAATGTGTTCCTTTGTTTGCCCCTCTTGGTCGAAAAAAGGTGAAAGATCGCTCTTTAGAACAGGCAATGTTTGTTAGAGTTGCACGTGAACAGAGCGGTTAGTGGCTTACGCGTGCACCATGGTAGTTTCGTATCCAGGCCCTCTCTATTAGTAGATAGAGAAATTCTTAAAGGCAAGTACAGTTTTCAAAGCAAGGCAGAAGAATTTATTAATCTCCCGCCTTGATAACCTTTCTCATCTTAGCGTCTAACACAGTAAATAACAACACAAATAAACTGCATCTCTTTTTAATGATCTTGTTCATGAATGCAGTTTGTAGTGTGACAACTTCCAATAACAACTTTTAAATAACTTAAACCGCTACGTTTTAAATACTACCGTCTTCTAGATTAGCTTACTTTTTACCAACATCCAACGATACTCAATTTCGTCGACATTTTAATAAATTAGTGAGATCTATCTATGAAGACATTTAAATACCCTCATTCATTAATCGAATTTTCTATTTCATTTTAAGCTCGTTTTGTTTTACTTCAGCTTAATCTAAATTCAGTTTTCTGAAACGCGCCACTTTTAGGAAAAAAATTTAAAGGACAAATTTCTTCTCAAATTGTATGAAAGTTATTTCGTCAATAATCGAGATGTTTCTACATCAAAAAGTATATTTTTCTAATGTAACTAATTGTTAACGCAGAAACGACTAAAACTTGATAAAGCTGAGCCTCCCAGAATAGATCAACGTGTAACTTCTCCTACACATTGCGATACATAATCTAGCGAACAGGTCTTGAGATTATAGAAGCCCATCATCTAGGGAGGGTTGTCTTGTTTAACACCAAATTGTCTTGAGTAATTTATGAGAAAATATACTACAGTCAGAAGGAAGATTAACGAATCAGATTTTGTGAGTTTAAATGTTAACTATAAAGTCCCAGCCTCTTCAACCATCTAATCATTGTTCGCGCCACCATTGTTTGGTTTTCCTGTGGCGTCTTCGCCTTTGCTTTTGTCATCTTTGCCTTTGTCATCTTCGCCTTTGCCTATGTCATCATTATAGGCCTCAGTAAACTTTTCGTCGATAAAACTCTCCACCATGAGTTGAATCTCTTCCTCTTCTGGGCATTCCAACTCGCTTAAAATCTTCCTGATATCTTCCACCGCCTTAGAAGTTGAGCCTCTTTGAAGCTCTAAAGACGACTTCACTAGTAAAGTGATGTCCAAAGGTAGAAGAGCCGCGCTTACTATTGAACCGGCCACGTGTGCAACGCGTGTTCCTGCCAAAGCCGCGCTTCGCGCCAAAGTTCCCGCGGTAGCGAACGCTGAGGCTGAGACTGACGCCGCGGACGAAAAAACCCGGAAGAATCTGGCGCCGAATTCCACTTTCTCTTCGGGAGAAGTCGCGAATTCACTTGAGGCTAAATTTTGAAGGAATGTAAAACCACTGCCTTCTAGTTCTCTTTTTAACTGTGCATCGTCGTGAAGAGGTTTCAGAAACTCTGCTAGGTCGTAGATGAAGTTCTCAAGAGCTTCCAACTTTTCTTGCAGTTGCGCACAAGCTTCCCTGTCCACATCAATGGCTTCCTGTACTTCATTTAATCCTAACTTCGTGAGAATTATCTCAACTACTTTGGAACCAGACATCACCAGACCTCCCGTGCCTCCAATCCCGGCGCCAACGAGTGAGACTACGAGCCCGGCTCCGAAGGTGAAGGGTGCAGCGATGAGACCCGCAATTGAAAGGACCCCTCCCAAAGTACCCAAGGACGCCCCAGTGACGGTTGATATATTTACATTTCTATGATGTTCGTGAAGTTTTGTCGCCAACTCTTGCAGTTGCTCTCTGGTGTTTTTCCTCTTTGGTATCCATTCTACAAAAGCCTTATGCAGGTCTTCTCGTCGCTGGCGTAATTCTTCGAATTTTTTAGTGATTTGGTTCACAACGAATGATTCTGACGGTTCCGGGAGAGTGGCATCATCTTCATCTGTTTCATTAGATGAGGAACTACTGTAAAACAAACATTCCAATAAATTTTTTGTTTTCTTGAAATAAGTATCTTCTGCGAAGTTATATAAATATCTGTACGTACAGTTCAGAGCGATTTTGACTTTATTTTCTGTAATTTAAGGTGGCACTGGATCGCCAGCACAGACTTATAAAACTTGGTATTAAGATGAATCCCTCTTTTGAGAAATTGATTGCAACTCAGTGATAAAAAAATTGATGATATCGAACTTGCACATAGAGCTAAATTTAGGGACAATTTTAGAAGCTGTGTTTTTGCCTCTTTTACCTAATTGTCTTTTTAATGATAACAATATGTTGCGAAATAGTTATACTTTCTTTTGACACCGCTTTCAAGGGAACACGCCACAAAGTGTAAGATAAGTGATCTAACACAGCATTGGTGTTAAACATTAATAAAAACAAATCTTAGCCATCTTCAGTCGCTGTGTGCTGACCTGTGAATCATCTTTTGTACTAAGTACAAGGCTGCTTTACTTGGAGCAGCGAGCAAGGCTTGGTGTAATAAACAGATGTGCCATCATGTTTTGATGAGATGATTGCGTGACTGATTATTGTAAAACGCATAAATTACATTCAAGACCGAAAGCGGAAAAACTATTTTCTCTGCAAATTTCAACTGGAAGCGCAAAGTACATGGCGAAAACAAAACAAAATATACTTGTTCCCTTACTAAATTGTCTATAAATAATCGTAAAATGAAATTTTTAAAGAGGAAAATTATATTTCACCTTCGCGTCGCTGTTAATATTACCGTCGGAATTGAAAACAATCAAAATGGCGAGAAATATGTTTTTCGCCTTGTCACGCGCGTGGGACAACACTTCTGAGTCCCCATAAGGAATCGAACCTCAGTCCTCAGGGGGGAATCAGAATTTTTTTCTTTGTCCCACGCTCGTGACGAGACGAAAAACATCTTGCTCTATTTCTTTACCGAGCTCAAAACTTACCATCTTACCAACTGATATTGGAGACTTATTCTAAAAGATTTCCTCTAATAAACTATCCGTTTATCTTCTGATTTTCAGTTCTATATCCAGTCCTAGGCGATATCCATAAACATTTGATTTCCCTCAAAAAATCTCTTCTAATCTTAATTTTCAAGCTATATCAGTCGCGGTGCTTGCAATTCCACAAGGATAGCATGCTTTCAATGCTACTTTTATTTAAATCTATCTTACTTACTCCTAAATTCACTCGACCGATGAAAGACCACGTAACTTTGCGTATAAATTATCCAAACCACATCGAAATTATGTTCACTCTAGCTCCAAACAAAAATATAGCCTTCCATTTTAAAGCATTAAACTACTGTTAAAACAAACCTTTGTCCGTCGTTATCGGGTATTTTTTCCAACTCAAAACTCATTCTGTCGATAAATAACTCGATCTCAAACACGACATATCTATTTGAGCGAAATTGTTCACAGAAAGACTTGTCGCGTGTGCACAATTCCTCGAAATTCTGCCGCTGGACTGGAATCTATAGACAACCGATTAAGGTAACGTAATATCGTTCAGAGATAAGATAAGTCCTCGTCGCTTTCTTGCTTTCCGTAAAGATCAACGCAATTTCCTTACGACTCTTCTTATATCGTACTCGCCAAGTTGGAGCGTGCGCGAATGAGCTTGCTATTGTCACGTCAACAGTTTCGTGAGGATCTTGGCCTAAAAATATGGCGTGACGGGTAACCTTGTTTGCACTCAGCGATTCTAAAAACTGATAGTCTCCTTGGAGGAGTCGTAACCGAATTATAGCAGGGTAAAGTACTATTTTTATTGTTATACTGGAAGAGAGGGAGAATGAGTATTTTTAAAGCTAAGTTCTGAGATAACTATGACAGAGGTTGCGACGAGTTGGCGAAACTGAAGATTTTTAACAAGGAAAAAAAGAGCTCAGCACCTGCATTTTCGCAATTGCCCGGCCGTCTAATGCAAATCAAGAGGCGTTTTTTAAGCAGCGGTAGACCCTAGTGGTCGGTTTTTCAAGGTTATCCTTTCTTGGACTCCTTCTCTGTCATTCTACGCTTAAGTTTATCGATTCCATCGAAGGTGAATAGCCAGAATATTTCTGACAGCAATCGATGGCGTTACACTACAACATGGGCAGCCTTAGGTGCAGCACTATGTTCCAAACAAATTGAAGGGAAAAAAAGCTTATTTTAACATAGCTTTCACTCAGCTATATGGGGTAACAGTGATTTAAACTAGAAAAAATATTTCAAGACTCAAAGAGTTTGAACATTTTTATTACCAAGAAAATGGCTAAACTACAAACCTGAGCGATCAAATCTGTTGCATGGATGTTATTGATCCAGTATTAACACAATCAATCAACAAACACTGGGAATGTCATAGAGGAAAAGTATGCTCCAAACACCATGTAAATTTATTTCCACTATCAAAAAGTGTATATGAACTTATGACACTGATCACATTAAGAGATTCTGAAGAGTAAACTTAACTTTTAAAGTTGATTTCTACAATGCTCAAATTTGACCACAAAAACTGCCATTTTGAATCCAGCTTAGCAAACTGGCTGCTTAAAAAATTCCAAATTCTCACTTTTCTTTCTCTCCCATCTCTTGCAAATCTATCTTAATCTTTTTACCCCTCAGAGTGACTTACATCTAATTTCTCCATGAAAACTCAAGCCTGAATCAAACCACAAAAGTCACCAGACTAAAGGAAATCATCACCAACCAAAGAAGCTCTTGACTGATAAACAAATTCTCCTTGTCTGCACACATGCAAAGAGATGTATTCTGAACAATATAGAGCATTTGCATACTGATGTTAGGGACAGTCATGGGTTAACAATTCAGTGATATGCACACACAAAACCATTCTTGACTAAACTAAAGATTTTTCTTTGGAATAAGCAGAGCAGCTGTTCATGACAGAGTTACCAAGTTGTTTTCAAAATGGTAGTACAGTAGTAATTGAAGGTATAACACTACTGTCAAAAGTTTTGCACATTTGAAGATAACTTTCTAAGATTAAGTTACTCTAAAATGGAATTTCAAAATAAGATTGGTAGTTAATTTTTAAATCATACTTATTAATGGCAGAGATAAAAATTATGGTTTCCACAGCATATTTCTCCATTAAGTGATAAATTCTACCAAGACAAAGTTGTTGTTGGGGTTTTTTTTTACAATGTTATTCAGTGTATGTACAATTAAGACTTTTTGCTCTCCTCTGCTTTGGTTTTCTCCTCTTTTTCTTTGTCTTGTGCATTCTTATCTTTAGTGTCCTTATCCTTAATCTCTTTACTTTTCTCTTCTTTCTTGCTGGCTTCATCTCTCTCTGCATCCCTGTTGGCAACTTTATTATTGATAAGGTTATGGAGAGCAATTACGGCACGAACAAGGGATGCTACATACACCACCAACATCTGATCATTGGTTTTTACCGAGAGTGATTTGATAAACTCTTCCAGACTCAGATTTGGTAGTAAATTGAACACATCTTGTAACTGATATATGATCGTGTGATTGACAGGTAGTTTGCCAGTTGCGACTTTATCCAAATAATCTCTGATGTCTTGGAGACGCGAGTTGAGACCTTTCAGAGACAATAGCTGGTTGGTGATACGTTGGGACAGTGTTCCTGCAGTAAGATTCTTGATATCCCTGAGAAAGTAAACACACAATTATCCATGTATTAACCAATAATAACTGAAAATGACATAATTTTTTTCAGCCCTTAAACTGATACCCTACATGTAAATCTCATTATGTAACTTTCCTTACTGTCTTCCATACTGTTCATTTGATTTTCGTTCAGAGAATTTGGTACTAGATCAACTAATAATCCACTAATTTTTATTTTTCTTTAATCTAATCACTTGTCTGCTTGAAATTGTGTTAATGGTATGCAGAGAATTTTGGTCTTGGTCACTCAAGAAAGTTTAAGGGTCAAACAGAGTAAGAAATGTAATGTTTCATCCAACACTTTGATGAAAAAAAACAAAACCAGGTGGGACAATAACCTGTTACCTTAGTAAATGCTCAACTCCGACCTCTTCTGCTTCTTCTGCTCCTATTTCACTCGCAATGTGCTCAAATGTTTTTGTAGTGGGTGTTCCATCCTAATAATGTTTAATACAGAAATAAAATTTATGTGAGTTGTGAGAGCTTTAATGTTAACAGATGCCACACCAAATTTTCAAAACTTGCCACCAAAAAAATTTCAATCTTGAGATTGCAAGGTTGTAAAACTTACATCATGTACTTCTTCGACAGCAACATATGCATCTGTAGGTAAACCAAGATCTTTAGGCTTTGCATCAATAATCACGAGGACCTGATGGGAGATGACACATACAGATGATGTGAAAAAATAAAATTGGAGAAGCAGTGGCCACAAGTATTTGTTAGTGTGTTGGACTTTGTGTTGAGAGGTTGAAGTTCAAATTCTGCCTGAGGTATTGTGTTCTTGGGCAAAGCACTTGGCCCTTTAACTCCCAAAGGTGATTAACAGGTAACTTCTCCCTATAATATCCATACATTACACAGCAAACAGGTAATGAGAAACTCAAACTTGTCAGGTAGAGTTTGTCCTCTTGATCTACCTCCAAATTCTTGTAACAAATTTAAAAGGGAATGTATAACACCTAAAGGAGAGAACTGACTTTGGGATTTATAGGGTTAACTTTCACAGTGTCTCTCTTCAGCTAGGAGTACAAATAGGTACTGGAAAATTGTCAGGGAAGCCTGATGAAATGCTGGGGAGTAAACTTGTGGTGGACTAGCATCCCAGCTCAGGGTCAGAGGAACAATACTTCTTAGTCATTTAATGCTAAGGAAACCACGATAAGCTGCACCTAAAGGGGCCACTTGGTTGAAGAACAAACTTTTTCTTCTTGCACATGAATTTACATTACTTTACATTAGGATGTCAAGAAAAAGAAAGAAAAAAAATACATTAGTGAGAAAATAAAGGAGGTAATGAAAACAAAAAATAAGTAAGGAAATTAATAAAAAAAAGGGGAAGCTCCAGTGCTAGCATCTAGTACAAACTTGATCTACCTTTTTCACCAAAAATACATGGGCTGAATCACCCATTGACAAAGGGTTGTCAGAGGAGTGAATAAGGAGCTCCTCAGTGAAAAACTGACACACTACACAGCGCAAGACTATATGAGACCAATATCAGTGCAAGATTTGAAATATATAATACTTACTGAGTTGGAGCAGTATCTTCTGATCAACTCATTCACTTTGACATCATTGTGGTGTAACTTAGGTCCTGTGTGATACCAGCCAACAATCCTTTCACGTGCTTTGAACATTGAAAAACAAACAAACATGCAAACAAGGTTAACAAAAAGTAAAGAAAAGTAAACATAAAAGTTACAAGTTACTGAACTCAAAACAGGCAAACAATAACTCTGAACATATGGTAAGCTTTGACTAAATTATGTAATTAATGTTACATTGTTATAGACTTGAGGTGATCAAAGAGAAGGCCAGAGTTTGTACCCGGAAACAAATTTCAAGGACTTTTCTGAGACTCTTCTAGGATTAAGATTGTCTGTTCCAGGACTCTACATTTCACCTTGTCCCTTTAGCTCCCAGGAACTCATGAGTAATTTTTCTTTACTGTCTGCCGAGTAGTTGTTGTGATGTTAGTTTGGAGAATTTGGTATTGGATCGCTAATAATCCCCTAATCAAGATTTTTTCTTTATTCCCATCACTTTTCTGCTTGATAGTGTTCATATTGTAAAGAGAAATTCTCTCTTGGTCACTCATGGAAGTTTAAGGGTTAAAACCATTCATTACCTAAATTTCAAATCAATTTTCCTTATGGGCTGTATGTCTTTCTTATAGCATTAATCCTGAAAACTCTATTGCTTGTGTTAAGCCAAGTTCCAGGACTTTCCAAGATCTATAGTCTTTTTCCAGGACTTTCCAGTCCTAGAAAATTTCAGTATAAAAACTCTCTAGGTTTTCCAGGACTCCTATAAACCCTTGAGGGCAACCAATTAAATAAAGAACCACAAACTGTAACCTCTTGCCCCATCTTAGATTCCCATCATTTTAATATAATTCACCAAAGGTTCAATGCAACAGGACTTCACCTCAAGAAACTCAGACAGCAGTCTGTTGAGTTAACCATTTACACCTTAATATCAGTATGCATATCAGGGCATGAAATTAACTTTTTTTTCTGATAGCCACTTGGCTCCTAAATTCTTCAAAGTGGTAGCCAATTCAAAAAAAGTTGGTCGCCATTTTCAAAGACAAACAAAATCTTTCTTTACGCTGTCAGCGTTCTAGATGGACCCTCCAAAATTAAGTTAGGGAAAAGATCTTTAACGTGCTACAAAGTGGACACTAGGATGGATGATATACAACGTTCAGGCTCATCTAAATCCAAGATGGCGTCTAGTTATCGATCGAGATGCCTGTGCTATGTTTTGGAAACAAACTTAACACGGAAGTTTGTGCGGATTTATCTTTGCAAATCTTTTTAATTCACTATATCTCTTGGTAAGGTTATGATGAAACGTTCTAGTCACCAATTTGGCGACTAACTTTCAGGATTTGGTCGCCAAAGTGAAAAATTTAGTCGCATTGGCGCCTGTATTAGGCACAATTTCACGCCCTGCATATTCTCCATAATGTTTTCTATACATTTCTCATGATAATGAAAAAGAGAACTTGTTTAACAGCCGAGAGCTTCTTCAGTCAGTGATCATTCCTTTATTCTCGTAACCTAATTGTCTGACTCAGGGGTGATAATGTAAGGAGAAATTAGATACTAGTCCCTCTTTGGGGTCAGAGGATTCAAAGACTCACCATTGACTTTCTTAAACATCCCATACATGTTCTCAAGGTAGTCATGATCCAAGAACCACACATTAGGATCTTTTTCGTCCTCGTCAAAAGGAACTATCAAAGAAAACACACAGATCAGATCACTGTCTTCTTAAAGGTGTAAAGAAACTAAGAGAGAAACAAAAAAGCTTAGTTTTTTTTGGTAAAATTTCCGCTCAACCCCATATTACATTATGCATTCAGTTCTTGGATAGAGAAAACAGTGACCAAAACAATATATTGCCATTGGGAAAACAGATTTGTTTTACAATAGTATGGGGCTGTGCGGAAATTTTACCTTTTTTTGACACGTGCGTGTCAAAGCTGAACGATCGATCAATTAGATTCAATCCAGCCGATCCTGGAAAAACACCCAGAGTTTGCAAGGATCAAGTACAGCCGGAGTTATTTAATTTTTTTATCTTTTCATAAGTGCTAAATAAGAAAGAAATCTCTCACCAGCAAAACTATTAGCTACATCGAGTACACCTTTTCGTCTTGAACCCAACAATACTCCAACAACCCTCTTTTGATTTCCAACTTTACCCATTCTATAAAAGTGATCGACAACGCTAAGCAATACAATTGGGTGGACCACCACTTTAGTAATCGGTTCCTCTGTTCCAGGCATTTTGCTTCAGGAATGCCAGACAACGGCGAAAAGTACTCTTGAAAGAAAATTGTAGCTTTTCAAGATGGCGGTGAGTCGACAGATTTTTCTGTCCCCAGTTCCGCGCGGTTAATAGTGCTCTAAGGCATTGTGGGTATATTACTTCATGCGCTATCATCGCTTCGCGTCACACATGGTCACGAGAGAGATGCGTGAGTGGGACGTCTGATAATGAGACACTTACTTGTTTTAACTTAAAAGCAATGCATATTTTAACGTTTCTATAATTTAATCATTTACGTTAGAACTGACGTGAATCGACGCGATTCTAAAAGCAGGTGATTTGCGTGGGCTCCACGAAGACATTGGGGCCTTCGTAGTACTTTCTGGAATCTTCCAACAGTATTAGCCTGATTACGGCATTTTCTTGTAATTCTTTGTGACATTGGCCAATCATTTTTCGAAAAAAGTTATTTCAGCTGCCTTTCTATCCCTCGGTTTACCTCATGAGGGCACAACTAACTTGGTATCCGAAGTTCTTTTTTAATTTTGTTCCCCTATTCCCGGTGATCATTATTTCTAAATAAAATTATTGCCGTCAGTGATAAACAGAGGCGATTCTCACTTTTATTATCAATATCATTATTATTAGTATTATAATTATTATTATTATAATAATTATTATTATTATTATTATTATTATCATCATCTCAAGGCCTGTAAGTCAGTGGTTAAAATAATCCCTGAGGGGCCCTCGATGAAGGGGTAAAATTTTTCTGCTAATCTGATATCCCAGGGATTTTCTACACTCGGAATTCAGTTCCCCTATTGATGCAATTACATAATTATAGATGAATTCTGTATGCAAGTTTACTGGTTGGGATTTGCTCAGGCAAATCTTCATTTATTTTTGAGCCAAAACTAGGTGTAATTAAGAGTTAAGTGAGGATATATTTATTTTTCCTCTGTTTAACTTATCACCTAAAGCCTATCCTTGGGAGTAGGAATCTAACCGAGGACTCGAAATCCCTTCCTGTTTTTTTTTTCTAACGAAGAAACAATCGATTATCATCTTGCTATCACTGTACCTACTGAAAGCATTGTTTGCCAAAGGAAGCAGGAATCCGATGTCACGTTCTTTGTTTACTTACGTCGTTAATTCACACGATTAAAATCAAGCAGTCATTCCCAGTAAAGCTGTGAGAACGTGATCACTCATTTAGAAAGTTTCGCAATGAAACGAGCTACCCATCGTCACATCCTTTCCGTTGCCAAGGTGATAGCGTCGGTTTACAAAAATGCATACACTCTGCAGGTAACGACTTTCGTCTCAAACTGTGATATAACAGTATCTGTTATTCTTTTTCTTCATTTACCTTTAAAAATTAATCGAAGGCCCCTATTTCCTTGAAATTATGAACACGATTTTCTGCTTATCAAAACAGATTTTTGATAGCACCCGTCAAGTTGCACGAATGACGTCAAAGCGCATGCAAATTCAATTCTGAAAAAAATTTTATCATTTCCTAAAGTTGACATCATCTCATTTTTTTTGTTTCCTAAAAAAAATAACTGCAATCTACGCGCGCTTTCATCGGTCAAATAAAACAGAAGGGTAAAACTAAGAGTATTTGTAAGACGTAACTTCCTCGACGCATTACGACGATATGCCGATGAACCGGCACAACCTGCAGTTCTATAGCTGAATAACTACTGTACCAAGTATTTTCCCTTGGAAATCAGTGAGTAATATCTAAAGTACACTTGCTGATCTATTATTTGCATAAAGTTGGTATAGAACATTAATTCGTCACAGAGGAGGTGACTCTTATTAACCAAGTTCGAGGTCCGTATTGTGCAAAAAGTTTCAGACCGACCGAGTTTATTTCTGCTCAGATTTATGGATTGCGCGGGCCATAAATCCAAATGTTGCATATCCCTGGGTTCAAATAGGGAGGATTTCAATTCAAATTAGCGCTCCGCACAGTGAACGACGGGCCTCTAAATTGACCAATCATCGCGCATGTCTACTTTAGTTACGCTATGGTATTACTATTTACGCATATTTTATTTTAAGAAAATATCTTAAATAGCACTGAACAGTTAAGTATTACTGTCGCGACATTCAACGCTGCGAAAAAGTATTGCTCAGACTGAATCCCCAAAATGAGCTACTGAAACACTTTCACTGAAAATCTTTTTAGAGCGAATTTCGATTTTGGATCGCAAAACTAAAACCAAAGTAATCAAAATCGTCGATCATTCAGAACGAAGGAAAAAATCACTTGCAGCCACTGAAAAATCAATGCAGGAAATAGGCAAACGGCCCGAAGCGCAGTTCAATTTCTTTAGAAATTTTCATGAGAAACAGCGCATGCAGCACAGCTTAAGCTTTCGCATGAATCCAAACATATTCAGGAGGCGAGAATTTTTCTAACCCTTCATATATGGAATTCGGTGGGTTAATAAATCATATTCATCCTTATGCATAATTCTTCCTGTTTCGTTTTGATTTTTTTCTAAAAAAAACTGTTATCATCCGATTTTATCGACTTTCCATGAGTAATTTCATTTTTCCATTGTAACCTGTCACGCTGTCACGCAAGTCATTAGGAATTGGCAATAAAAGTAACCTTGCTTCGTGTGATTTCTATGAAAACATCCGAGACGAAAAAAAGTCTTGTTTTTGCGCCACTGAGACCAATCCAATCGGCATGAGCCTAACCCTCTTTTCATTTTACTGAAAATCGAAAACCTTAAAATCTTGAGTCTTTATAGGTCGGTTTTCAATGGTGACAAAGTCAGAGTCGAAGGAGCCCTTCGGACCAAATGGAAATCGAAAGGCATGTAATATTAGAACGGATAATCGGCCAGAACGAAGCACAAAAATGGCTGTCTTAGTTAATTTACTTTCCATGAACGGAAATGGATGGTTAGAAGCTGCCCTTAGCCCGAGCACAATCGGGAGAGGCCTGACCCAAGCGCATATGTTTCAGTGAAAACATGATTTTTACCAAACAATCGTAATGCAGGTCTGACAACCCGCCCAATGCTTACGACTCAATCTAGCTCCCATTGCATCCGCGATATTGACCAACGGAGTCGGAAGTAAAGCCACAAAGTTGTTTCTGTTGGTTTGATTTTCACCGAATTGTATCAATCTGCCTCACTGATAATGAATTCGACTCTCATTCCGAGTACATCGTTAGAGAAAGCCAGCCTTAACAAAGTTTAATTTTCTCACGCTTTCTCCTGGCGTTCTGGTTACGGAACAGGATGGCAACGCACAGTGAAAGAAGAGGAGTCTGGTGACGACTTGCGGAACTGTACAAGCTTTCCTACTATTTTTGCTCTGCATTATTCACCCACCATGTTTACGACACAACACCTGGAGCAGGCTAGGCAGAGGCGGATCCAGTAATTTAGCGGGGATAGGCCTGTAAAGTGCCCACCGGAAAATTAAAAAGTTTCTAAAAAAAATTCCAAACAATACACAAAGGTGCTTCCTAAATTTCAAAAGTTATACCTAACCTTTCTCGATATTTTAATATGAACGTTAACTAAAGGCTTTCTTTTTCGTTCCTCACAATAATTTCTGACATTGGTCAAGAAAAATAGCTTCAAAGAGTTGCTCGCAAATGAGGGAAAATTTAAGGACACTCTTGAGTCTAACGGAACAGAGCACATGGTTCATTTGATGTCTTGTGAACGTCATATTAGCCGATAATCCGATAGGATGTTAGACAAGGATCGCAATAGGTCAGCAAAACGCTGTTAAGTTACAGGTCATTTATTCAAGAGATTAAAAAATATTCAAGAAATTCGCATAAATTGAAATTTAACATAGTTTACTTTTTTGTGCCTGATATGTACTCTGGACTTATATCATATAAATTTTGCTCATAAATAGCTCAGAAAGGCAAACATTGCTCGACGTACCGCCAGAACCGGAAAAAGCTGCTCCAAACGTCAACTGCTGCCGAGCGCAATCAGAACAGGCCTGGCGGGGAGGGGGGTGTCTAAACATTGATTCAGAAAACACATGCTTTTTCGTGGCATTTTCTCTTCCGCTCTTTGCCTTCTCCCGCTTAAGTCACGCTTTTACTTAGCGTTTCATATTAAAGCGTGTTCCACTGAAAAAATAAAAAATAAATAAATGTAGACTCAGATCTAATAAGAATGGAGTCTGGAAACCTCTGGGAGGGGGGCCTAATTGGACTGTGAGGTATAATAAAAATCCTTTGTGAGCGTCACATCCCAAATTGCATTCGCGGAGGACCAGCAATGTTAGATGTACAATTTCAAGCTAGGAAAGAATAGAATCGAAATATTCACCCACAAGCAAAATCGCGTGAATAACAAAATTACAGATGCGCTTTAAAATTAAAGGCATTACAAATTACTTAACGAGAATTGCAACAGCCACGCACGTAGGCCCGTACATGTATTTTTACATGGAGAGTCTAATTATAACCTCCGCTTTTTCCAGTTTCATTTTTCGTCAGAGTGGAAGATAACCTAAACTTGCAGGATGAAAAAAATGAAAATGCTAGCATCGCAGTTTTGAAACCTTTTCCATGCCTCCCAAACCACTATCTGAATATGTAATGATCATTGTGGGACACATCGTATGCTAATTAATTATGAAAAAACCCTCATTATTTACATACTGGTATCTCTCCAATCGATGGTCGCTCAGGTAAAACATTCGACTACAAATTTTTACCCAAATAAACCAGGTTAACAGTGAATTGCGTGGTCTGACGTCAAGGTTCTTCTTGAGCGACCAAGAGCGCTCTATTTATAGCAACCCCCGTAACAGTCCTCAGACCTGTTGCCGTGGTATAATTAAATCATTACGTCAGAGGGGAATTTCTTACGTACTTATTCGCTAATGAAATTCCTGAAAGATCCAACGGTCGACCGCATGCTTGAAGTCATCTGCGCTCCTCGCAGCCAAAAAGAAAAACACACACAGACAAAAACATGGCACTTTTATATTATGACATATTTTCTAAAGGAACCTCTATGATTAAATTTTGTTTCATTTCAAACCGCAGAATGAGTCATTAATACTCACTTTAAATGCGTATCCTGTTCAGAAATTGTGGTGTTACACTGAATTGGAAAATGGCTTGTTTTAGATAGTGTGTTTAACCAAGTGCAAATTCTATGTGTTTAGTCTCTCTAGATCGCGTTAAATTCTGTTACAACTGTTTGTAAAAAGTCTGATCTTGAATTCCTCGTAATAATAGCAAGCCAAAGGGTGTAAAGTGATTAATTAAACTGTTTAAAATGCTTTTTTAATTAAATGCTAAATTTACATAAGCGAGGAAACAGGGAAAGTCGCAGCACGATTTTTATTTTACGTGACTTTAAACTGTTAATTTCTAGCGTGGTCAATTTGTTAAAAGAACTTTCGAGATTGTATTATTGCCGTGTTTTCGGCTCTAGAAGTTTTTCCGCGATATCTGTACATCGTGGTTTTCATTTTGTTATGTTTGTGTTTCATGACAATTTCTGTAGCCCCATACTGAGTCGAGACGAGTATACATTTAAAGTTTGACGCCGTACAAAATTCATGTCGGGAATTCCTTAAATTAAAATGAAAAATAAGAATGAATGACACGATCTAGGCCAATATCTGAGAGAAAAAAATGCAGAAGCAATAAAAGCTTCCTGGTTGCTTCAGAAATTGCGCAACTTCTCGAAAATGTGCACTTTGCTTTCAATCGAGTGAATATTCGCTAGCTCCTTACCTTCCCACGGAAAATTCAACCATCTGAAAACCGTGGGCGCCCGAATATTTTAGTGACGGGAAGCGAATTACCTGTAAATTTAGTAACAGTATTTTTCCTTCCGGGTCACGTTTAGTGTTACTATTTTTAAACTGAAAATGATGAAATTGGATTGTAGAAATTCTACGTTAGGTATTGTAAAGTGTTCCACCGCTTTCCTCCGTAGAATTCCTCAAAATTTCTACTCTCAAGCGAGGCTGTTCCCGGAGACCAATCAAGTGAGACGTTGCGGTGACGTCACACATTGGGGCAGCCATCTGCTGATGTCTATGTGGTATTGGTGAAGATCTTATATTCATACATTGCCTGAAAAGTTTATTTTGTTGTCCACGAATCGTGCAGATATTTCTTTCCATGGCATGATTCTTCTTATAAGATCAAGTCATGGCTCAGGAGGCAAATGACGACACAGGTTCGACGATCTCGGTGTCCACTGCAAGCGATATTCATGATCAGGTAAAGAGAACGTATGATCAAACGAACTCGTTCCCTGAACGTTTTTTATCATTCACCGTAGCTACATTCGAAACGAGCTGTCTTCTCGTCTGTTTGGTCGTTTGGGATTATTTTTTCTTCCATTGTCTTTTTAAAACCGGCGTTTTTTGTTACTTCTAGGTCTGGAATCGTCCGTCATATCCGAGGAGAATTCATATGACCAAATTGGACGGCTACCCGAAGGTACATGTATATATTTTATTACCTCGACAATAACTCAAAATTGGGCCTATAGAAAATGTTATGATTTGTCTGGGTTGTGGCGCTTTAAATATACTGAATGTTTTGGTGAATTTGATCATAGAAATGGCTAGACCTTTGTTTCATTTTGATCGCTTACCTCGGCATACTTGCATATCAATACGTAAAAAGAACAAACCGTCAGGCTTCACAACAGTGAGATTTTTTTACGTTCTTGCATAATTATTCTCCCAGCAAGCTGTTGTATACAAAAATTGAAACCTTTTACAGTTTTCTGGTTGTAGAAGTGCCTTCTACCATCGAGAGTTCTTTACACGATCGCTCGTGTTTACCCAAAATAACTTTGCGTGTTGAGCTCGGTAGACATTTCAGTGCCCATATTCTATTTGATAAAATAGCTCGACTTTCGTTTCTCTGGCGTTTTGGGAGAAATGATTCTAAGCTATATATTTAGGTAATAATAAAACCTTAATCGCTGTTAGTTGATGGCCGTTAGTCCTTCGTAATCCTACAAACGTAACTTTATTGCTTCTTAGCTGACTGGCTTTCGGTCATTTTGCTCAATTGTAACGATAATTCATTCTTCGAACATATGATCTCATAATAATTATAAAGACTTTCTGAACATCTCTGATACAAGAGCTGTTAAAGAGTATTTGCAACTCAGATCTGTTATGTACGGGAAGGTATCTGTCTCCACGACATGTTTATGTTGACATTTTTTGAAGATCTGTCGAATGACGAAGGTATCGTGTTACTTCAACTTTCATTCGACGTGTTCCTTCGAAAGTAATTGTCATCTACACATACGTATACAACGATAGCCTGTTTAAAGAAAGGGTTTTTTTTCCCCATAAGCTACACGTACATGTATGTATCCTCACAAGTTGATGAGCTAACAGAGTTTTCTTTAAAAATCGAGTGAATGCTAAATGTTAAATTGTAGCAACACAAAAGAGGCTATCTTTTTGAAATGAATGATTCTGATTTTATGCAAGTAGTGATATCAGCAATTTTTGGGTTACCAGGATTTCAGGTAGTGTTGCATGTGATCAAATGATAATTGCTTAGCCATGTGATTTCTTTTTAACAATTTAACAAGTTTTTATCTGGAATAAGAAGTGAGAATAGTTGTGTTTTCAAGATTTGAAATTCAGTTGTTGCTAGCGAGTACTAAGTTACTTTCAGAGTATTCAAATTTTAGTGGGCTTTTGAAGAGGGATAGTTTGACATGAAGTGATCAGAGTATTGGTTCATGATAGATATTGGAGATCAATCAAACACATTTAAATTTTGGAAAATGTGAAAATGCAATTGTATTCTTGTCAAGGAAGGCTCCTACAGTCACAGTAGATAGAATTTGAAAAATAAAAAAAACTAATTTTGGAAAAGGTGCAGAACCACCTTAATTTTCTCATTTTATTTTTACTGGTTAAGTCCCAGAACTTTTCTTGATGAGGGAGACTTGAATGATGCACGGTTTGTTGTTATGGAAGAAATTGATAAATATAATTTCCAAAATATTATAGGATTTTATTTCAAGCTACGCCCCTGGATCTATGGTTCATGGCTAAGACCCTTCAATAATTTACACTCTAACATTAGTATACATATTCTCCATACTGTTCTCTGTACATTTCCTAAGGTCCTGATAAGGAGAATTTGTTTAACAGTCAAGAGCTTCTTTAAAACCAAGAACTTCTTCAAGATGAAAAAACATCTTTATTTTTTTACAGAGCTCAAAACTTACTATCTCTCTCTTACTCTATTTACTAAACATGGTGCTATGGACATTGATTTGTCATGGAGTCTCAGAATTTTTTCCTTGTCCCATGCTCGTGACAAGACAGAAAACATCTTTTTCTAAGAGCTGCTTTGATTAGTAATCATTATTGTGACCTTATTGTGTGATTCATGGGTGTTATTGTCAGGAGAAATTAGATGCTAGTCACTCTCAGAAGTCAAAGGGTTACCTGTCACAGCATCTCTGTTATATGTCTGAAAAGGTATCAGCAAAATGATGGGAAAAACTGTCAAATTGGTAGGGTGTAGCCTTGGGATGTAATGGCATCCTGTCCAGGGGGAAGATGGGTTGGGTTACAATACTCTAAGCTACTGTAGTGGAACTGAGAATGAGCTTTTTGGCTTATAAGCTGAAGTTGTCTCTACATGGAAAAAAAGTGATTTTGTACTCACATTTTGAACATTATATTATGACATTTTTGATCTGCTAGAGCAAAATAATTCCTTCTTCTCAAAGGAGCACCAGAATTTCATATAAAGCCAGAGGAGATTTTCTGTAATTTCTTGTTCTTTAAAAGTGCATTTTACACAGGTGAAGTTTGCTCAAATCTTTTAAGACAAGGGTGCTGTGAAACTTAATTTTGACTCAAGTTAAAGCTTGTTGGCAACATTTGTATCTGTGGTGAACCAGTAAGTGAACAGACATACATGGACATGTACAGAAATAGAAATGGCTGTCTCAGTCTTTTTATACGTTAGATCAGTTTGTTATAGGATAAACCTGAAATAATAGAGGCTTTAGGAATAAATTAGTCGTGTTGTGAGTCAGGAAAACACATGTGAAAGCATGTACATGGATCCAAACTGTCCTGAATTGAATGGCAAATACACGTAGAAAATGTGGGAATGTTTTGATGTTGTTGTAAACTGATACTTGGGACATGAGCATGTTTGATCAATGACCTGATAATTAGACTAATGAGCAGTTTATTTCTGAAGGATGCTTCAAGGTATTTGTCTGGTGTTCTGTTAGGAAGTTTGGAGCACGTCCTCAGAGAAAATTAGGCAAATCCTGGTCTCAAAATGTTTCGTTTCTCCAAGAAGAAGAAGGTGAAATTTTTATATAGATTCTGTTACATAGTTTGACTCTCAAGTCATGGTTGGATGGAACTTTTAGTTATCAGTTATGTTGTAATATTTTGACCTATTAGCAGGATTTTGTGAACATTTCTCATTTTTAGAGAAGCATTTCAAATATACTGATTGTAATGATAGAATGTTACATCTGGACATGGTTACCAATTTGGACTTTTATCCATGACTGCTGAAAAGACATGTCTGGTGAAGTTTGTTTTGTGCAGTATGTCTGTTTGATGTAATGTTTGAAGTATGCACCATTTTGGCCTGAATTTTGAGATTTATGAAGCAATTTTGGCCTTAAAATGATTTACAGTATGTGTTAGTGCCATTAATGTCTGCATTATTAGTTATACAGGATGTTGTAATTCTCTACTTGGATGTAAAAGTCCCTTACTCAGGAAAACATTGTCATGAATGTGGAACACTACTCCTAATCTGCAAAATCTGTTTCTTATTTTACCTCCAAAGGCTGTTTAAAGTACTCTGTGTAGTGTGCATCTGTTTGACTAACCTGGTTTACTGTCTTAAGATGGTAAAAATGTTCTACTCTAGAGTTCACTTTTGTTGTTTTTCAGCTTCATATCTCAGGAATTTTATGACACATCTCTTTGTTAAACTCCATCTTTATCTTTGTAGTCAAGGCTGATAAGTGAAAAACAATTGAATCTAAAGTAATCATTGTTCACATTGTGGGATACTGTTCTCTCTTGCTGATGAAGAAGCTTCTGGAGTGTCATGTCTCAACTTCCCTCCCATTTAGAAAGTTCTAGTTTGTAGAACATCTCTTTAAAAAGTATTTGGCATGTACTGTGGTTCATTACTTGTTTATGAAAGAAATTGCTGTGGACATGTGTGGCCATTTTCAGTGTGAGAGGGAGCATAACCACTGGTAAACTTTTACTGCAGAGGTCTGTTTTTTATTCCTACATCTAAAGTGATGTCTAGGAACATGTTGTCAGTACCAAAAATTGTAAGTGAGTTCTTTATACTTTGGTTTCTTTCAACTCGTATTTAAGAACTTCTGTCTATTATCCTGAAAAGAATGAATCCAGAGTTGTAATTCAATCACTTGCCTCTTCTCCAATACTACTACAGTACACATCTATTAGTAATTGTTCAGTGACATTTAAGTACACTAAGCTTTTTCTTATCTGGTAGCAGTGCTTGCAAGTTTTAACACTGAAATTGCATTATGTTATGCTTATGCAGTAAATGGACACAACTGTATCAAAAACAGACAATACCTTGTCAGCTGAAATATATTGTCATCTTGCAACATTGACAATGAATTTCTTAAGCGCTAGGCAGTGTGGATGGCTTAAGTGCTGGTAAATATTTGAAAATTTGTTTGGTCTTCAGAATTTGAGAAATAGAGAACTTCTTTCCTTCTGTTCTGTAGTGTGCTCTGTTGTAGTGGAAATCTAATTTGGTGACCATTGCTGAAATCAAGTGCACATTATGTCGTGTGAAGTCTAATAAAAATGTATTGTACATGTAGCGTACTTTGTTGCATTATATCTACCAGAGAAATCAGAGAGAGCAAGAGGAATATGAATCTGCCATTAGAAGAGAAACAAAATTATTCATTCTTAAAGGGAATCTTGGAGAGGGGCTGTGTATAAGTCTGCCTCAAAATGTACATGCTCAAGAAAGCATTGTAGTTTTGTGATTCTTTTGGAGTCTGTCTGTTCTCTTGCCTAAATTTGGATGTGTGGCAAAGTAATAATAGTTTCTTTGGGCTCTGAACCATTATGCACTACAACCTTATTTATTGTTAGTATTTTTTTCCTTTTGAAAGGCGAGCAAAAATATCAGTCACAATATTTTGACTAAAGACTGCTATTTTTTCCTTAATTTGCAAAGAATCTTCTAGAATGGCATGCATCAATTCATCCACATTCTGGAAATTTGGAATACATGTCCAAATTATGCGGTTACTTAGTTAATTAGAAACTTGATGGTGTGTTATGTGCATTCAATTTTTCTTGTGGGCTAGAGCTGGACACCTAAACAACAACTTTATTTTGATCAGAAAGATGCAGAAATTTTTGTAAAATTAATCATATCTTGGAGAAAACAACTGTGGTGTGATTATAGCA